AAAAAAAATCAATAAAATATATATATATTTTTAAATGGGCAATGGACTTAAATAGATACTTTTCTAAAGAGGACATAAGGAAGGCCAAGAGACCTATGAAAACATGCTCAAAGTCATCATTCATCCCAGAGATGCAAACCAAAGGACCTGTTAGGTTCCATTTCACACCTGTTAGAATGGTTATCAACAACAAATCAATAAGTGACAAGTGTTGGCGAGGATGCGGAGAAAAAGGAACCCTCGTGCACTGCTGGTGGGAATGCAGACTGGTGCAGCCACTGTGGAGAACAGTACGAAGTTTCCTCAAAAAACTAAAAATGGAACTCCCATTTGACCCAGTGATCCCACTTCTAGGAATATATCCCAAGAAACTAGAAACACCAATCAGAAAGGATATATGCACCCCTATGTTCATAGCAGCACAATTTATAATAGCTAAGATTTGGAAACAACCTAAGTGCCCATCAGCAGATGAGTGGATTAAAAAACTGGGGTACAACATAATGGAATACTACTCTGCTATAAAAAGGAAAGAACTCCCATCATTTGCAACAACATGGATGGAACTGGACGGCATTATGCTAAGTGAAACAAGCCAGAGAAAGATAAATATCACATAATCTCACTCATTTGTGGAATATAATGAACAACATAAACTGATGAACAAAAACAGATCCAGAGACAGAGAAGCATGGATCAGATGCTCAAACCTCAGAGGAAAGGTAGGGGAGGGAGAGGGTAAGGAGGAGAGAACAACCAAAGGACTTATATTCATGCATATAAGCCTAACTAAAGCTAACTGCCCACCCAGTGACTATCTCCCTTTTATTAATGTACTTAACAAATACTTTTATAGTGATACTACCCTATTTCCCCGAAAATAAGACAGTGTCTTATATTAAGTTTTGCTCCCAAAGATGTGCTAGGTCTTATTTTCAGGGGATGTCTTATTTTTCCATGAAGAAGAATACAGTACACATTTATTGTTAAATGAAAATAAAGGAAATTTATTACCTGTATATGGTATGGTAGTACTGTAGTTGTCAACACAAACCAGACAAAATGTGAATCCTACAGTATCAAGAATTTACTCATTTATTCAATGACAATCATGTCATCTTCTGGAACATCATCATAACAATCCAATTCCTGAATTTCCTGGTGAATTTCTTGTGACTCCATTTCTTTCAGAATCAGTGGACCAAATCTCTCATGTTTAGCCTGGGGGGGGCGGGCTTATTTTTGGGAGAATGCCTTATATTTCACTCAGAAGGAAACCTGTAAGTAGGTCTTATTTTCGGATGATGTCTTATTTTCGGGGAAACATGGTAGAGGCCTGGTGGGCAAAATTTGTGAATGGGGGTGTGTCCCTCAGCCCAGCCTGCACACTCTCCAATCTGGGACCCCTTGGGGGATGTCCGACTGCCGATTTAGGCGTGATCCCTATTTATTTACAAAACAAACAAAAAACATTCAAGAAAAGAATCATAGATATCCTCTAAATTTTGGAAAATCCCAGCCTTTTATAATGTCACAAGCCAATGCGCCAAGGGACCAACAAAATGGGCCTCTCCACTCTGAAGGACTCAGTCTTGAATCCGAAAGAGTCATCTGAAACATTCATCTGCTCGAATAGAGAGCAGATACAGAGACCCAGCTCTTGTCCCAGGGAAGAGATGGCTTAGCCTCAGGATTGTGGCCCAAGAGCTAAGGGCTGGGCATCAAACATAGTTTACTGCTGTCTGGTAACCTTCAAAGGCTGTTATGAAGCTATTGTTATGGCAACTTCTCTTCCCTCCTATCAGGGAAGGAGAGTGTGGGATACCTCCTGTGGATAGCTGGGGTTTGGGAGAGACTGGGCACGTCCATGGACTTTAAGGCTCACGAATTTTAAGTGTGGACGCTTAAATGGAGGAGTTAGCCCTCACTTTCAATCTTTCTAGCACATCAGAAGCATTTTTTTTTTCTTCTTCCAAGAACAGAACATCAATCTTTTCCAAAAGATGAATCAGAAAATTGCTGGCAGCGTGGAAATAGCGACCCATCCCCACTAGGATGTTAAGGTTTGGAAAACATTGGGGGCGGGCTCAGTGAGGGGCTTCCCTTAGGAGGACAACATGGAGAAAAGAGGGAGACATGAAGAGACCAGTTTAAAGGAGCTAGGGGAAGGAAACTATGAATATAGGAAACTGAACGCCTCTGTTCTGCTCAGTGTGACGAGAAGGGTTTAATGTCTTCCTACAGCCGTTCTTGCGCTAAAAGACAATACCCACTCTATCTGAACCTTTTCTTAGATGCAAAAGGCCTTGAAAAATGTATTTGCATCTCAAGAGCTGAAACTAAACATTTTCTTGTATTGATGAGAAGATCAAGGCCACGGGCAGTCACGGTAAGAAGGAGAAAGCGCTGCCCTGTGACCATACACCAGCAGCAGAGTGCCCCTGAACTCTCACACCCAGCACCTCACACCCACCCACGTCCACGTTGTCATCTATAGGAAAGCCCCTTGCCCCAGACATGTTGTGGTGCCATCATGGTGGGGCCAGAGGCCATTAGCAGAGGTACCAGCCTCCCTTTCTCCAGCACAGAACCCAGGTCAACAACGCCCCTCCTCCAGGTGAACCATATCTCAGAGGATCCTCCACGGCAATGGCCAGTGGGGGCGGGGGTGTGACCCGGATGGATTGTAGTCTTCCTCCATTCCCCTGCCAAGAGGTTCTGGATTAAAATATCCTGTGAACTTTCTTTATATACTAGAGACCCAGTGCATGAAATCCGTGCACTGGGGGGGAGGGGGGGAAGTGTGGGGAGTCTCTCAGACTGGCCTATGCCTTCTCGCCGTCTGTGACCCCTCGGGGGCAGTCCACCTCCCTGTGGGGAGCAGGTCTAAGCCGGCAGATGGACATCCCTCTCCAAGTCCAGGACCCCCTCACTCCTTACTGCCTGCCTGCTCGCTGCTCCCTACTGCTCTGCTCGCTGCTCCTTAGTGCTGCTGTGGAGGCTCCTGGCACAGAGGTGCTCCCTCTGTGGGAGCGCACTGACCACCAGGGGGCAGCTCCTGCATTGAGCGCCTTCCTCCTTGTGGTCAGTTCACAGTGACCAGTCATTCCACGGTTTGATCAATTTGCATATTAGGGTTTTATTATATAGGATATTCACTAAAGAGTCTCAGCAGGTTGTTTTCCAAAGTAAAGGAAGCCTACTCAGAGATAAGTCTACTTTCCCCTTTTGAGGGCTCAAAACTAGTTGTGATTAACATTTTCTGAACAACAGAAAACGGTCCTTTTCCCCACCCATCCATCCCTGAAAAATGGCGTAAAAAGCGTTGCTTCTACTTAATTTCCTGTTTTTTGTCCCTAGCGAGGTTTAACACGTAGAATGTACTTTGTGAAACTTTGTTAGTGTTATATTAATGTTTTATTATAGTAACCGTGTGTAAAGTTATAAACTCATAGAAACAAGAACGGTTGTTCCCACCAATACCACAACGGGAAGCGAGGCTTTGGCTGTACCTAAAGGGAGGACAGGGCTGGGAAGTGGGGAGAGGCGGTGGTGAGGGGCAGGCACCAGAATCAGCCCGGGGTGGGGTGAGGAGGGGTGAAGAAGGGTGGGGGTATGAACTGGATGGAAACAAAGATATGATCAGAGGGACCAGGAGCCGGGAGTTAAGGGTGGCCATCTCCCTACTGTGGGGAAGACCCTGCAGGCCCTTCTCTGGGCCAAATCGGTATGGCCAAAGCCCAGGGACCAGTTGGAGTGGGGAGGGGGTGGTCTTCTGGAGACAGAAGGCGGAGCTTGGGAGGCCAGTCTTGCCTCCCCCCCTCCCCTCCCCTCCCTGGCGATCCGTTTGACTTTGACCCGCTGCCCCCACCAGCGGCTCAGCCCCAGCCCGCCAGCCACTCCCAGCGGCAGCGCCGCGCCCGGGCGTCTGGCGAGGTGCGCGCCTCCAGCCCCACTCCGAGCCGCCGCCGGCCTTTCCAGACGAACAGGGGCGGGGACAGCGTGGCACCTACCGGCATCTGTGCCCTGAGCCGCCGAAGACCACATCCCACAGGGTAGGCGCCCTGGGGCCACTTGCGCGGAGGGTCCTGGCGGAGCCCGGGAGGCGGGAGGCGGCGCAGCCGCGACTCGACAGCGCGTCCCAGGTCAGTGCTGCGCCCGCCCTGCCGGCTGCGCGCGGGGAAACTTTGGTTTGCCGGGTGGGCTGCCGGGGGCAGAGCCGGAGGGCACGGCGCGGGGCCCCGCGGCCTCCGGCACCGCGTCCGGGGCTTCCAGGCCCCGGGAGCCGCTCCAGCCGCGCACCCCGAGACCCGCGCCAGCCCAGCGTCCCCGGGGCTCGGGGGCCTGTCCGGAGACTCAGCGCCGCCATCGCGGGCTCTGCGGCGGCGCGGGCTTGGACTCTACTCCGCCGGGATGCGGGTTTCGCCTGCTTCTCTGCCTCCTGAGGCCGCCGTGGCTGCGGGCTGCCTGGGGAAGGCGGGTCGGCGCCCGGCCCGAGCGGCGCGCGTCCGGCCGCAGGAGCGCGCGGACCGGAGCTCGGACGCGGGCGCGTCTCCGCAGGTGCCGGGGCGCGGGGCGGGGGAGGTGCGGGCTGAGCGGAGGGCGAGCGGGGGGCTGCGGAGCTGTGTGCAGCCTCTGGCTTCACAAATGGGAGCCACACAGGGGCCGACAGCTTTGGCACCCAAACCTTGGACTTGGAATTCTTTACCGGAGAGCAGGGGTCCAGAGGTGCACCTGCCCCAGGATGGAGGAGGCCCTGGCTTCTCTCCGCGGGCATCCCCTTTCCTAAGGGAGGGCAGCTTGGGGACCTAGCCGCAGAGGCTCTGTGCTGAACCCCATTTCGTAGATGGCCTGCCTGCTTAGCTCAGAGACCAGGCGACGAAACGCGCTTCCCCCCCACCCCCCCATTCCGTGCCCCGGCGCCGGCGCCCCAGTCACCTTCCTTTGCCCTTCTCCGACAGCACTTGGGGTTCTGCACTTTGGGGGCGGGGGGGGGGGGGACTGAAGAAGGGAGCTTGGTTCCCAGAGCCAGCTGGGTCTTCTGTGGAGACTCTGCCAGAATCCTCAACAGCTTGGATCCCTGACAGCTGGAGGTATAGTTTTGCTGCTCTGTATGTACATGTTCCGGGAGTGGGGTTGGGGAGTGGCAGCTGCCCCAAGACCCAGAGGCTTGGGGGACAGCGAAGTCACTGTGAGAAGACGTTGGCCCTTTTGGGGTGCATGTGGGAAATAGGATAAACCTTACTAGTTACTCTCTCCCTTGAGCAGTTACTAAATATTTCTTACAAGCTGGTGCCAGGGTAAAATACTTTTCCTGGCAGGTCTTTACATTTCCTGGGACCATCTCGGGTGCATTTTTTTTGTTCTGACACTGCTCCCTTTCCTTGCATGGAGAGGAGACATATTTAGCTTGGGGCAGGCAGACTTGCTTCATTCCAAGTGCAGCTGACTTCTGCATCCTGGGACTCTGGATTTTCGCAGCTCTCTCTGGGGAGGGCAGGGCAGCAGCCTCCAGTCCTTGGTCCATCTCACTCCAGGCTGTACTCTGCTCTGGGCCTGTGGGCTCCCTCTTCATCTGGGCTGTGCCAGCCATCTCTGCCCTACACTCCTGCAAGGGAACTGAGCATCAGACCACTCCGAGGTGATGACAGAGACAGCCTGGTGGGACCCTGAGGCAGGGGGTGGTAGCACACAGGAAGTGGGTTAAGGAATGAGGAATGAAGAATTGGCCATGGATTTTTTTCCAAGTGTGCATAGAAAGCACCCCCTATTGAATGTCTGGGAGTGGAGACTGGAGTCTTCTTTTTTAAATATGTATTTTATTGATTTTTTAACAGAGAGGAAGAGAGAGGGATAGAGAGTTAGAAACATCGATGAGAGAGAAACATCCATTAGCTGCCTCTTGGGGTGTGTCCGCAACCAAGGTACATGCCCTTGACCAGAATCGAACCTGGGTCCCTTCAGTCCGCAGGCCGGTGCTCTATCCACTGAGCCAAATCAGCCTCGGCGAGACTGGAGTCTTTTTAACAAACTCTGCATGTGATTCTTCTGCCCGTTGGTCTAGGGACCTTGCCTGTCATTGTCAGACCCTACCAGCCCAGAGGATTCTTCTCATTTAGTGATGGGTGTTTAGAAATTGACATTTATTGAAATCTTCAGAGACCAATGTATTAGGATCTTTTAAATCCTCACCATTATCTACTATAAAGTAGATTTTTATCCCCACTTTAGGGATGAGGAAACTGAGGCTCAGAGCGTTAGCTTCCCAAGGGCTGGGAACTTGGGAAGAGACAAAGCCCAGACTTCTGCTACACAGCCTGCTGCCTTCGCTAAGCTACAATAGCTTTGTCTCCTGTGGGCAGCACAGAGGCAGGGAGGGGCAAGCATTAGTTAATTGCCACCCCCTTGATGCCCTCCCCCGCCATGGCAGACAGCTGACATGATGAGAGGGAGCATGAATCCCTTTTTGGAGGTGGAGTAAGAGGCTCCAAGGAAAAGAACATTTCTCTCCAAATGAAAGGAAAACTGGAGGTGGCCCGGGGAGAAACCACCACAGGAAAGGCCAAGCCGACCAGTGCCAAGATGACTTTTAAAGCGCTTCAGCCCATGCTGCCCTGGGGAGTGAGACACCACATGAGTCAGGCCCTCACAACAGAACCCTCCTCCGTGGGAAGCTGGGGGCACGCGATAAAGGACACAGGACCTTCTACACAAGCCCTGAGGCGCAGGCAAATAAGAGGAGTGACTTTGGGAGGGCGCCCACCTTTCCTTTCGCAGCCTCCTCCCCTGCACGGACTGGGGGCCCGACCGGGTGCGTGCTGGTTCCCTGCCGATGCCGGCCACGCTGACAGGGCAGGCTGCATCCTGCGAACACGCAGAGGGCTGCCACGCGTAGGACCCACGCCAGACACATTTACAGACTCGGTGAAATATGATCAACTGCACAAACGCCATAGGGATGTCTTAAAGAATGGAAAAAAAAACAACACAAAAAACTAGACTTCCAATGGGAGAGATGAGTGCAACAAATTATTGGTATTTACGTAACTGAATAGCTTTGATTTCCTTCATAGGAACTGACAGCTGGCTGACAGAAAACGCATCCAGGGAGAGAAAAAAGACATCAGTGGAGTATCACATTCTGAATGATGTTTTCAGGTAACTTTCTCTTTCCATGTAGAGTGGGAGAGGCGAATGCAGTTGTGGTTTGAATTGCTTCATTTATTGTCAGATATTTTTAAAAGTTTTTTAAAAAATATATTTTATTGATTTTTCACAGAGAGGAAAGGAAAGGGATAGAGAGCTAGAAACATCGATGAGAGAGAATCATCGATCAGCTGCCTCCTGCACACTCCCCACTGGGGATGTGCCCGCAACCAATGTACATGCCCTTGACCAGAATCGAACCCAGGACCTTTCAGTCCGCAGACCAACGCTCTACCACTGAGCCAAACTGGTTTCGGCTATTTTAAAAAGTTTTTGACTTCTTTAGCCTGGCTTCCGGGCCTCAGGTAGCAGGGCAGAAAGCTGGGGTGGACACACCGTTCAGCCTGTAGACTCTCACTTTATCCCCGTTTTCAGCGTGCTGCCATCAGGTTCAGAGCCTTTCTGATCAGTCTGTTCAGAGAATAAACCTTTGTTTTCTTGCCTAAAAGAGTCTGCTACTTGGGGCGGGGTAAAGAACCTGGGGTCCATTTGTTCTGTGCACAGACGTTGAGCCATCCTCTCCTGTACAGCCCTGGGCCTCATTACCACTTGCTGTGTCACTTAGGGCCTCTTCATCCTCAGCTTTATGGGTCCGAGGTGTATGCTGGTTCCCTGCTCATCTCCCTGGTGATTTCTGTTGCAGCCTCTGCTATGCGAAGTCAGTTTACCACGCCACCATCCTGCCCTGTTTCCAAAGCTTGTTTGAAATTGCTCCCCTGATGTCTGTTCTCCAGTTTTCTTTGTTCTTCAAGATCTGTATCTTTTTCATTTTTTAAAATAACAAAATTGTAATTTTAGTGGCATCTTGAGAAGAGAGAGGACCAAATGAGTATAGCAAATACACCGTAATGAATTGCAAGTGATTTTAAAGATGTTCTAATCCTACATAATAAAAGCATAACATGCTAATGATATGCTAAGGCCACTCAACCATTCACTATGATGGGCACTGATCACCAGGGGGCAGGCACTCTGACCGGTAGGTTAGCCTGCTGCTGGGGTCCTGCCCATTGTGACTGAGAGATGGGCTGGGCATGCCCTCCTGTGGTCCCTCCCTGGCCTGGCCAACCTCCCACGTCCCTCCCCGGTCCCTCTTGCAATCTGGGACCCCTCGAGGGATGTCAAAGTGCCCGGTTGGCTCCGTGGCAGGCCAGGCTTAGGGACTCCACTGGTATACAAATTCGTGCACTGAGCCTCTAGTTTTAAAGTAAAAAGCAATTTAGCTCTGGCCGGTGTGGCTCAGTTGGTTGAGCATTGTCCCGTGCACTGAAGGGACACTGGTTCAATTCCCAGTCAGGGCACGTGCCCAGGGTTGCCAGTTCGGTCACTGGTGGGGATGCATGTGGGAGGCAACTGATTGTTGTTTCACACACATCAATGTTTCCTTCTTTCTCTCCCTCTCCTTTCCTCTCTAAAATCAATAAAGACATTTTTTAAAAGGCAATTTATCCAGCTGTTTAATTATTAATATCTTATAATAATGTTGAAGTTATTGTACTAGGAAATTATAAAGAAAATATACTTAAAGGATGTCTTCATCCCATATTTTAGTAAATACCATTAATGTTTAGGACACATTTGCACATCCTAAAAACAAAATTATAAAATATTTTACCTGTTATTTAAGTAGGCTGTGGATTAGGGACATGGTAAAAATAAAAGAAGACTAACTTCTGGGATAAAATTTTTTAAAAAGAAGTGTGCAGTAAGAAGGCACAAGAAAATCTTTTTGTAGACATTGATTTCATCATCGCCCACCAGGGGATGAATGTTATCTGATTAGTTTTCCACAGGTGAGGAGCCCAAAACTCTGAGGTCGAGAGACTCAAACAGGGCATTCAGCTAGTGAGTAGAAGAGTCAGGATAAAAATCTGGGTCTGTCTAACCCCCAAGCATTCTCTAGCTGAACTGCTATCTGTTGGAAAGGTAAAGCTGAACTTGGAAATCCTTTATAAACTAGATTATAACAAAGGGTCTGACAGAATGTGAAGAAGGTGTCAGCACCTGATGTTCAGTGAGGGTTTCGCAGGTTGGAATAGGAGGCAAGGCCATTTCTGAACCAGGGTAACTGGGCGAGAGAGGTGGTCTGTCACACACAGGTGGCTTACCTCTAGGAAGGGTAAATAAGTCGAACTTCATTGTCAGCTTTTTTGCTGTGCAAATGGCTGGGGCAAGATAAAGGAACCACGTGAAAGTGGGTGAGGGTAGAGATAAAGACAAGGGCATTATTCCAAAAAGGTACTGATTACCATTGAGACACTAGGAGACTTCATACGTGAAGGATAAAGTGTCTGATAACTTTTTTCTCTGAAAAATGTAATGTTTAAAGATTTTCAGAATTGCTCTACTAAATGTGAACAGTTTTAAAAAGTGATCAATCCAAGGCGTTTTTTAGTGAACAAAGAGTAAGCCTCATGGAGTTGCTTTTGCTAGACAGGCCTGCCTGTCTCGGGGGAGGGCGTCTGTCTGCCTTACGCCCACATGGCAGATAGAAGCTCTGGTTGCCAGGAGCTAGTGGCGGGACTGCTCGGCTTCTCCGAAGCCCCGGAGCACACAGCACCCTCCCTTTCCACAGGACTGCGGGGTGGCACCCCAGCAGGCAGGACAGCGCCAGCCCCCTTCACCTCCCAGAACCTCCTGATGCCAGCTTTGAAGAAAGTAGTCAGACTTAGTGTTGAGGAGAATGGCTTTAATATGAGGATAGTTGAAAAGGTTTGGAAACCTTTCCCAAAGTTTCTTATAAGGCTTTATTTTTAAAAAGTGTTATCAACCAAAGACCTTATATGCATACATGCAGAACCCATGGACACACAGCACGGTGGTGAAGGCCTGGGTTGAGAGGGGCGGGGTGCTGGAGGAAATCAATGGGGGAAAAAGGAGGACATATGTAATACTTTCCACAATAAAGATTTTTTTAAATGTAGGCAAAAAAAAAAAAAAAAAAAAGTATAAAAAAAATATTGGCCCTCATACTAAAAACTATATGAGAGTAAAATATTAAAATGTGGTATCTGAACCGAAACCGGTTTGGCTCAATGGATAGAGCGTCGGCTTGGGGACCGAAAGGTCCCTGGTTCGATTCCGGTCAAGGGCATGTACCTTGGTTGCGGGCACATCCCCATGAGACTCTCTCGCATTGATGTTTCTAACTATCTCTCTCCCTTCCTCTCTGTACAAAATCAATAAAATATATTTTAAAAAAATAAATAAAATAAAATGTGGTATCTGAGAACTTGTTCTCATTTGAGTATCTGTTTCTCAAATGCTGCTTTAAGTCAACACTGTTTTTACATTATTGATACCATTTTCTTCTTGAACTGCAGTTACTAAGTGGTTTCTATATTTACTATTATGTTCCAACTGATTTCTCAAATTCCTGTTGCTTTAATCCTATTGAACACATTTGTACTTTAAAAATGCTAAAAGAAGGTTTCTTTTGAATCACTGTCTCATGTGACCTCTTTTCAGATGCTTTGCATTCAGAATAGACCTCTGGGTTGGGACCCACGCTGCCAGCCAGTCCTAAAATTCCTAAGTTCCTGAGTTACAGGTATGTCTGGCTCTGGAATAACTCCAGTAAAACACAAAGTCACAGCAGTCGCTTTTATTGTGTTTGTGTGTGTGTGTGTGTGTGTGTGTGTGTGTGTTGAGTAGTTGTCCTCTGCTTAGCATCAGGAAGGATACTAATGAGGAAGTTAGCAAGGATATTCTCTTGAATACTGCCTTTCAGGAACATAGTAGCTGAAGTTCCTTGAATGTTAGGCATCAATGCTATTGATAATTCCACAAAAGCTGAATTATGTTGTAAAACCTAAGACCTGATAGAGCCTTTGGAAGATGTACTTATGCAGCATATCCGATGGAAGAGCGATGCTCTTCTCTCTATGCATGTTCCATTTTACAATAAATAGGTAGTGAGAGTAGAATCATACAAAAGAACATGTGAAATATGTGCTGTTTTAAAAAACAATAAAATGGGGGAGATCCAAGATGGCTGCACCCAGGTGAACACCTAGCCGCAGCCGCACACAACAATTTCAATAAAATACAACTAAAATATAAAACGGACATTGCCCAGAACTACAGGAAGGTTGACTGACTGGAAATTCTACAGTGAGAAGTAAGGAGAAAACCAGAAGGAGGTGCGGAGGAGCTGGAAAAGCCCAAGGTACAGAGACGCAGCGCGCGGAGAGGACGGAGCCGGAGAGGAGGGAGGCCGAGTGCCTGGCGGGCGTTCCCAAGCGGAAAGGAGATAAAACTCCGACTGTGCTGGGCCCCCGACTGCTCTGATCCCCAGTTTTAAGCCAGACCCCGGGGACTCAGGCTCAGCCATAGGGAGCCGGGCTGTAAGGCGGAACCCCGGGGAAGTGGCGAAAGGAGGTCCCAGCGGTGCGCACACTGCGCACAGAGAAGGGACGGTCGGCTGTGCCGCGGGATTGCCCTGACGGGAAGGAGACTGGGGCTCCAGACTGCTCTGAACGCCACCTCCAACTCCACTTCCAACTGAACTGAACCCCAATACCGGGCTCATTGTGGGAGAGCATAGACTGTTTGACAGCAGGCGAAAATCGAGGGCACCTTTCTCTCAGAGGCGCAGGCAGCAAGCTCTGACGGACCCGCATAGGGCGGGGCTGACGGAAGCCAAAGCTGCAGGCTCCACCCTGAAACCCCGTCCCATCTGTACCTGCGAAATGCGACAACAAAATAGATCACAAACGAAAGAAATGGAGGACAAAAAGCGTCTGGATATAGAGTTCAAATCTACGCTTATAAGGTTTTTCAAGAATTTCCTAGAAAAGATGGATAAGGCCTATGAGGATATGAAAAGAGATCAACTAGAATTAATAAGAGATCAACAAGACATAAAGAATACATTGTCTGAAATAAAAAATATTTTACAGAGTCCTAAAAACAGAAGGGAAGATCACAAGAATCAAGTCAAAGATTTGGAACATAAAGAGCCAGAAGACACTCCTCCACAGAAGCTAGAAGGCAAGAGAATCCAGAAAATTGAAGATAATGTAAGAAACCTCTGGGACAACTTCAAGCGAACCAACATCAGAATTATTGGGGTCCCAGAAGATGAGAGAGAGCAAGATATCGAAAACATACTGAAAGAAATAGTGACAGAAAACTTCCCCCACCTGGGGAAAGAATTAGACTTACAAGTCCAGGAAGCGCATAGAACTCCAAACAAAAGGAATCCAAAGAGGACCACACCGAGACACATCATTATTAAAATTCCAAGAGCAAAAGACAAAGAGAGAATATTAAAAGAAGCAAGAGCAAAGAAGGTAGTAATCTATAAAGGAGCACCTATACGATTGTCAGCTGACTTCTCAACAGAAACCATGCAGGCCAGAAGGGAATGGCAAGAAATATTCAAGGTGATGAATAGCAAGAACCTACAGCCAAAAATAATCTACCCAGCAAAGCTATCACTCAGAATCGAAGGCCAGATAAAGAGCTTCACTAATAAAAAAAAGCTAAAGGAGTTCATCACCGCCAAACCAGATTTATATGAATTGCTGAAGGGGGTTCTTTCAGAAGAGAAAGTAAACAAAGATAAAAATTATGAACAACAAATACGTAACTATCAACAAGTGAATCTAAAAACCAAGGAAATTAAAAAAATCTGATGAACAATATTAACTGTTGAATATAATAGAATCAGAGGTATGGAAGGGGAGTGAACTGACAATTCTTGGGGAAAAGGGGAGAGGGGGGCGTGGGAAGAGACTGAACATAAACTGTGCACATATGGATGAGGACAATGGGGAGAGGGGAAAGGGCAGAGGGTGGGGTGGGAACCTGGTGGAGGAGAGCAATGGTGGGGGGGGGGGGAAAGGAACATTTGTAATAATATGAACAATAAAAACTTATAAAAAAAATAATAAAATAAAATAAAATAAAATAAAATAAAAAAAAAAATAAAAAAAAAAATAAAAAACAATAAAATGCCATCCATACCCATGCCACTTAGGGAGAGAAACAGAACATTACCTGAATCTAAAATTCCCCAGGCCTCCCTCCAAAATTGCATTGTTCTCTCCACACCCCAACCCTAAGAGATAACTTTCTCCTGATTTTATGTTAGTCACGCCTTTTGCTTTTTTTCTCTTCAGTTTCCCATTTGTGTATGATTCTTTTTTCTTTCTTTTTTTTAATATATGTTATTGATTTTTTACAGAGAGGAAGAGAGAGATAAAGAGTTAGAAACATCGATGAGAGAGAATCATCGATCAGCTGCCTCTTGCACACCCCCCACTGGGGATGTGCCCGCAACCAAGGCACATGCCTTTGACCGGAATTGAACCTGGGACCCTTCAGTCCGCAGGCTGACGCTCCATCCATTGAGCCAAACCGGTCCCGGCTTGTGTATGATTCTTAAGTAAATTAATTATTTTTGAAAAATCAGCTGAATAAAGAAAGGTCAGTATTGCCAATAGCATATGAAGGAGCTCTCAAGAGATAAGCTGAAGAGTCTGCATCTTACTTTTCCATAGAATCTTGTTTTTTAGTTACAACATCTTATCCCGCTGGGGATAATGAGCTCTTGCAGTTTTCATTTTCCTGACTAATTAATATCTGTCTCCTCCACGTTGCTTTTATCCTGTTTATTCTGGCATTTTTAATGTAAGAGGCTTTTTCTTTTGTTTTTTGTTTTGACTGTCTCACGATTAAAGGGCTTGGATTAAAAAGTTGATTATTGTTTAGTTAATGTGGGACATTTCACGTGTTCTTTTGTATGATACTACTTTTATTTATTGTAAGATGGAATATATATATACACAGTCGTAGGTTGGTGTTATAGCATAAATATTCAGTGAAGATTCTGAAAGTAAATTTTTGTCACTTCCTAAAGCTTGTTACTAGTCTAAAATTTTTTAATTTTGTCACTCACTATTTTGTCCTGTACTTATTAATAACGTAACCTCATTTATGTCCTCTTTCTCTATACATATTTCAGAAATTGTATGTAAAAAACATGAATATAAATTAGGACATTGACTTTGGCTAATCGTTTGGTCTTCCTCTTCTTTGGTGAGCAGGTATTGATTTCTGACGTTTGAAGATGGACGAAGGTGTAGAAATTCCAAGTGATGGGAATTCCCTGATAAAAGCCGTCCACCTGAGCCGGCTCCGCCTCACCAGACTCTTGCTGGAAGGCGGCGCCTACATCAACGAGAGCAATGACCGCGGGGAAACCCCGTTAATGATCGCCTGTAAGACCAAACATGTGGATCACCAGAGTGTCAGTAAAGCCAAGATGGTCAAATACCTGCTAGAGAACAACGCCGATCCCAACATACAGGACAAATCTGGGAAAACCGCTCTGATGCATGCTTGCTTAGAGAAAGCTGGCCCCGAAGTGGTTTCCTTGCTCCTACAGGGTGGGGCCGACCTCAGCTTGCAAGACCATGCTAGCTACTCAGCCCTTGTTTATGCTCTAAATTCAGAAGATAAAGAGACCCTGAATGTTCTACTGAGTGCTTGCAAGGCTAAAGGAAAGGAGGTCATTATCATAACCACAGCGACATCGCCCTCCGGCAGGCACACCACCCAACAGTACTTAAACGTGCCTCCTTCGGATATAGGTGAGTGTCATTCCCAAGCCACCTGCACCACCCCTTCAGAAGTAGACATAGAAACAGGCTCGCTGCCCCTTTCACATTCTTCTGAAACGGAAATGAGAGTTTTTGGCTTTCACGATCTGGAGGACTCCGGAAGCCGCGATGAGACCTGGGACCTGGGCTCCCCTGTGCGGAAGCCTGCGGCGGCCCTCAGTGGGCCCAAGCCACCCTGGGTCAGGAGTGGCCCCCCATTAATGACCAGAGTGGCCTCTCTGCAGGAGGAGCTCCAGGATATTACCCCAGAGGAAGAATTATCCTACAGAACCAACGGGCTGGCACTCTCCAAGCGATTCATCACGAGGCACCAAAGCATTGACGTAAAAGACACTGCACATTTGCTCAGAGCCTTTGACCAGGCCAGCTCCAGAAAGGCGTCCTACGATGAAATGAATTATCGATCAGAAGGAAATCAGCAATGCAGTGAAATCCCTGTTGACCAGGACCCAGACTCTAACCAGACAATATTTGCGTCCACCTTAAGGAGTATAGTTCAAAAAAGAAACTCGGGGGCAAACCACTACAGCTCCGATTCCCAGCTCTCGGCGGGTCTGATCCCTACAACTTCGGAAGATGGCAAAGCGCTGACAGGAAAGAAAAAGATCCTCTCGCCGACTCCTTCCTTGTTGTCGGGGTCCAGAGACTTGCTGGAGAATATGCCCCCAGGCCCCCTGAGCAGGAGGAACCACGCCGTGTTAGAGAGGCGAGGGTCAGGAGCCTTCCCCTTAGATCACAGTGTTCCCCAAACCAGACCGGGATTTCTGCCACCCTTAAATGTGAGTCCTCACCCTCCCATCACAGATGTCACCGTCCCCAAGATCCCCAGCCTTCTTTCTTGCGGTCAGAAAGTGCTCATGCCAACAGTTCCTAGTTTCCCTAAAAGTAAAAAAATGTTAAGGAGACAGTCATTGCAAACAGAACAAATTAAGCAGTTGGTAAATTTTTAAGAGATGGCTGGAAAACATACTTTGTTCACAGGCCTTTATCAGAGAAATATACAACTAGAGTAGAAATCTCAAATGTTCATCCTTCTAAATGTTGTAATTGGTTAGTCCACTATGGTTAGGGGGAATCAACATGTGTATCATACGGGGCACTGTGGACACAAAAACTCTATAGTTTGTGGCGAGGGAATTCTCTCAAAGAAGTATTTTTCTCAAAGTTAAAAGTATTTTTTCTCTAAAGTATTTCTACCCCCTCTCCCTTCCACTTTTTCTGAAAAGCAATGGAAAAAATATGCTCCATTATTTGGGTTAGGATTAACAAAAAAAAGTACAAAAGAAAATACTGACAGCTATAAAATGTGCTATGATATATAAGCTTCAACTATAAAGGATGAATAGATTCTTTAAAAATGTTGCCCAGGCCTTGAGCATCAACCTATAGACCAGGAGGTCATGGTTCCATTCCCAGTCAGGGCACATGCCCAGGTTGCAGGCTCAATCCCCAGTGTAGGGTGTGCAGGAGGTGCCCAATCAATGATTGTCTCATTGATGTTTCTCTTCCTCTCTCTGAAATCAATAAATATATATATTTATTTATATATATTTGGCTGCAGATAGATGAAAATCTAATTAAAATTTTAATGGTCAGTCATTATAGGAGACAGAGCAACTAATATTCCTGTTGTTAGCTTAATCAGTGTTAAATGGTAAGTAAGTTTTACAAAGTAGTAATAATCTATGCCAAGTGTTTGTGTGCTGTTTTTTGCTTTGCTTTTTTAAAACATTTCAATAAAATGTTATGGAAGTTTAATTTTCCATACCTTTAATTCCTGTTAATTTTTTTGAAGCTTATCCATAAGTTTCCAAAATAAATGTATTTTAAAGTTAAAAAGCATTCCTCTTTACTTATTCTCGACTTTCTAAAAACAATCCCCCCCCCCTCAAAAAAAAATCCCAAAACTTTGAGATTTATCACAAATAGGACTAAATGCTTGCTTTATTTTATTTAAAAAAACAAAAACAAAAACTGATTATTAGCTTAGATGAGCTAAAGTTAAGAAAGTCAGTAGAAACCTAATTACAAAATGTACGAAATAGTTGGTCAATATTAAATAATGTCTTTATTTCTAATATGTAATTATTAGACATTTCCATAGTAAGGATGTATAAGGATAATTTCCTTAGTATGGCATTCCAAAAATGTAGTATTTTATGACCTGTGAATAATTTTTAACAAAATAAATGAAAACCATGCTACTACTATAAAATATTATAAAATGACTATTATCTATAAAATTGGAAAATATGGTGTTTATACATATAATCCTAATTTCAATCTAGCAGTTTACAGCATAGGATAAATCAAACTATACAGAACCTGCGTGTATTAATTTGATGTTGTCATATACAACTTTCTTTGCTTTCTGTCCGTAACGAGAGCCTAACAATGGGCTTCATGCTTTTCTTGGTAATTTGATATAAGCAAGTTATAATGAATCTAGTATTTAATTTCTTGTGGATTTTATTTGGGGGGAAAAACTGGAGGTGTTTCATTTAATGTTTTGAAGAACATTAATTATATTAGAAATAGTTTTTTATTCAGAACATAGAATTGTACCTAGTGTTTATAGGCAGCTAAATCCTTTTTTGCAAGTTCTAATATTGAGAAAAGTGCTTGTTTTTAAGTTGTAAGGATACATACTGGAAAATATGTAAATAGACTAGTTCATAAAATGGTATCAATAAAGGTTTAAAATGTTATTTTAATTATCATTGTTTTTTATTTATCTCAAATACTAACGATAATTTTCAATATAATCTCAAGAGAAGCTGTGCCACATGTTACTTTGAGTAAATAGAAAACTATGAAAGAAAAACTGTTGTTTCTATTCTTATCCCAACATAAAAATGAATACATTTAGTAGGATTAAAACTTCATCGGCCATATTTAGAAGAATTTGTAGTCATCTGTCAATCCCAAGAACCCTCAGGAGCTGAGGTTGTGTGACCATGGTTATAAAACCATCCTATGGAACTTTTCATTCCATTAAGTAGAATATATCACTGGCATCCCAATGGTAAGTCACAGATGTTTGCAACCGGAATCAGATATGTATGCAGAAATACTCAGGGTATCTCTGAGTATGAAGAATGAAGTTATGAAGAGTTAGGTTTTGAAATTCTAGGAGCAGAAAAAGGGCATGAACTAAGGTAGTGCTGGTGAGAAACTTGAAAATCAAATGATATATTTCCAGGATTAAAATTCCTAGAGTAGTTTGCTCACTATAGAGAAGATACTATGATTGAAACAATGAATACAAAGATGTGCATAAAACCTATGGATGAGGACAATGGGGGGGTGGGGAAAGGGCAGAGGGCGGGGTAGGAACCTGGTGGAGGAGAGCAATGGAGGGGAGGGGGGAGGAACATTTGTAATAATATGAACAATAAAAATTTATTAAAAAAAAAAAAGATGTGCATAAAAAAAAGACATGCATAGCAGTCAGCATGCTCCCAACAATATGGAAATTCTAGGTCCATCCACTTTAATTTATTCAGTAAGTGGATTTGATTTTGTTATGAGAAAGCTGTTTAGCCCAGTAATAGTTAAAAACACTTCAAGCCCTAGCTAGTTTGGCTCAGTGGATAGAGCGTTGGCCTATAAACTGAAGGGTCCCAAGTTCAATTCCAGTCAAGGGTACATGTCCGGGTTGCTGGTTTAATCCCCAGTAGGGGGCATGCAGGAGGCAGCCGATCAATGATTCTCATCATTGATGTTTCTATCTCTCCCTCTCCCTTATTCACTGAAATCAATAAAAATATATTTAAAGTAATAATGCTAATATATAATAAAGAGCTAATATGTTAATTAGACCGAACAGCAGAACAACCGTCCTGAGGAAGCTGGGTTACAAGGACCAGCAGGGGCTGTGAGGGCTGAGCCCCTGGTACGAATTTTGTGCATTGAGCCTCAAATAATAAATAAAAACACTTCTGAAGCCTTCTTACTCTTCTGTAGTCTATGAAATAACCAGTTCTCCAGGAAAATGGGGAGAGGTTGCCACATTTTGTGGATCTCTGGAATGTAACTGCCAACAAAATGTGATTCATACCTATTATGACACATGAATTCTTTCAGTTATTTTCAGTATATCAGAATTATTTTTATGAAGGGTTTTAAATATCATTTTTTTCTAAATTATTAGATTAGACTCACTGAAATCTCTTCTTTCCAAATCTTTTAGGTAAATACAGTATTATAAGGACATATGCCTAATACACAGTAAGCACTCAATACGTATTTTTAAAAAAATATATTTTATTGATTTTTTACAGAGGAATGGAGAGAGACAGAGAGCTAGAAACATCAGTGAGAGAAGCATCGATCAGCTGCCTCCCGCACACACCCCAGTGGGGATGTGCCTGCAACCAAGGTACATGCCCTTGACCGGAATCGAACTTGGGACCCTTCAGTCCTCAGGCTGATGCTCTATCCACTGAGCCAAACCGGTTTTGACTCAATATGTATTTTTTAATTGGACAAATTGGAGCATAACTCAATCATTACAATTTATATGGTAATTAATTCAGACCAAAGCAGAGGATTATGAAACCAAAACATAAAATAATTTAGAAGAATCTTCTTCTTAGAGATTAACTTTGATTCCAATGGCTTGTTTAAATTCATAATTTTGTGGTTCCAAGATATCATAGAAAACTTGTTTTTTGTCAAAATAGTCTCTAATATAAAGTAAATCTTCAATGGAATAGTTATCATTTTTTCCAGTCCAAATAGTCAGGCTGTACCTGCATTAAAATAAAACAGAATTCTATAATTAAAAGTGGAAGATAAGAGACAGTGATGAGGAATTCCAATAAGCCTAAAAATAGTTTGTCTCCAACCAAAATTCACACCAATATAAAAAAATTAATTATCAATGGTAAAGTTATCCCTTCATTCCTTCATCAACACTAAATGGACTAGAGAAAAGAAAAAAAATTACATTGTTGCTGCTAAATTAGCTAACTGCCGTATCTGAATACAGGAATGTTAAATGGCTGTAGAAACCCAGACTACTAGCACTGAAAATGGGCCAAATTTTGGACAAAAGAACTGAGAAGATTACACTGCTGATCAAGGAATCTGTTCTCGAAACAAAAATTATTGCTCTGCCAAAACCGGTTTGGCTCAGTGGATAGAACAACAGCCTGTGGACTGAAAGGTCCCAGGTTCGATTCTGGTCAGGGGCATGTACCTTAGTTGCAGGCACATCCCCAATGGGGGGTGTGCAGAAGGCAGCTGGTTGATATCTCTCTCTCATCAATGTTTCTAGTTCTCTATCTCTATCCCTTCCACTCTGCAAAAAAATCAATTATATTGTGTGTGTGTGTGTGTGTGTGTGTGTGTGTGTGTGTGTATATATATATATATATATATATATATTTTTTTTTTTTTTTTTTTTTTTTTTTTTTTTTAAATTATTGCTCTAACCTAGGTTTCCTCAGAAGCCTAACCAGAGTCAAAGCACAACTGGAAGAGACTGAACAGACACAAGTGCCACTGACACTCCAACACATTTACTTTGTAAGTGGCTTCACTATTCCTTCTGGGGATTTTTGTCTGAGATATGCTACAAGATGTCACTGAAATTACCAAATGGAATAAATTTAGATCTACTTCTGGAGTTAAAAAACAACAATAATATGTGCAGATTTGTTATGGATATAAGAATATGCTCAGCCCTAGCCGGTTTGGTTCAGTGGATAGAGCGTCAACCTGCGGACTGAAGGGCCCCAGATTCAATTCCGGTCAAGGGCACATGCCTGGGTTGTGGGCTGGATCCCCAGTAGGGGGCATGCAGGAGGCAGCCAATCAATGATTCTCTCTCATAACTGATGTTTCAATCATAAAATGCAAATAAAAGGAGAGAATAGAGAGAAAATAATAGATAACAAAGATAAGCAAAGGAGATGTACGTTTTCATTACAGGAGTCCCTAAAAGAGAAAGCATAGTGTTATAAATGCAGAAGAACAAATATAATTCACAGGAATATTTCAGAAAAGAACATTTGAATCTACATAGTGAAAAGAAATCCACATCCCTGTGTCTCCATAAAGTACAGAATGGTCCTTCTGGAGACACAGTCTAATAAAATTACTAAGCCTCAAAGACAAAGAACCCAGCTGGGTGGCCCAGTTGGCTGGAGTGTCCTCCCAAAAGCCAAAAGGGTGTGGGCTCGATTCCTGGTCAGGATCCAGAGACGAGGCGGCCAATTGATGTTCTCTTTTTCTCTCTGTCTCCCTCTCTCTCAAAAAATAAATTAAAAATATTCTTGGGTGTGGATGAAAAAAAAAGTTTTCATGGAATAGACTTCTGAACTATTATAGAACTCAGAGGGTAACTTTTATCTGCTTAGAACTTTGTCAATGTATAACAATGAAGAAAGTGACATTTACTGGGCACCTACTATGTGCAAAAACGGAGTAAGAGACAATGTTAAGGTTCATTAAGAAGCTTCACTCTAGTGAGGGAGTCTGTATGCTTACAGAATCAGTGTTCATATTCTCTCCTACACACAGTCTTGAAATAATCAGTTTGCATCCTTTATCTCTGTCTCTCACAGACACTCACATGCACACTCTATGCTATAAAACTTATACATACCTGTTTGATTTCTTTAACAGCCAGAGAAACTGAGAACAAGACTGCCTGACTAATGCTGCTCTGACAGGAAAAGTTACAGGCTGACTTAGTTCATTGCATATGCATTCCATCTCTTTCACCATTGTCCAACTATAACCTGAAATCAAAAGAAAGAAATTTAACTTTTCTACTAGAATACTAAATTCAATAAAATAAAAACTAAATTACATATATAAATTCACAGGTAACTCATGCAAACTTTCGTTTGAATACAAATTGAATTAAAATATCACTTAGTGCAAGAAAATGTTTTGGGTGGAAAATGTAGATGAAAATTAAATCTAAAATCATGCCACAAGTAATTCTATAGCAAATATAATTTTAAAAAATGCCTTGGCTGGGTAGCTCAATTGGTTATGTATCATTCTGGTTGCGGGTTTAATCCCCAGTTAGGAACATACAAGAATCGATCAATAAATGTATAAATAAGTGGAATAATAAAAATATTCCCGTTCTCTCCCCCTTTTTTCTGTCTCCAAAATCAATAAATTAAAAAAAGAATTTACTGCCGAAACCGGTTTGGCTCAATGGATAGAGCGTCGGCTTGGGGACTGAAAGGTCCCGGGTTCAATTCCGGTCAAGGGCATGTACCTTGGCCCTTGGTCGCAGGCATATCCCCAGTAGGGGGTGTGCAAGAGGCAGCTGATCGATGACTCTCTCTCATCATCGATGTTTCTAACTATCTCTCTCCCTTCCTCTCTGTACAAAAGCAATAAAATATATTATAAAAAAAAAAGAATTTACTAATATTTCAAGTGCAAAAATAGCAAATTTTGACACAGTAGTTACTTTTTAAAGACTTTTAGGCACTTCCTAATCATTAATATTCCCTATAAACTAAGATTTTCCATTTATGATAATTACATTTTCTTTTCTAAGAGAAAGATGGCTACTAGATGTTGGTTAGCTAAATAAGTAATAATTAATTTCAATTTTTTAAATTTTATTTATTTGTTTATTTATTCACTTATTACTCTTTAATTTATTAGGGTGACATTAAACTTCAATTTTTAAGTTTTTGGCTAGTCCAGATTTCTAATACATTTTACCTAAATTAGACATAGTGGTAAAATGGAATTTTATATATGTGCTTTAAATAATGTTAGGACACTGTAAAAAAAATCACACCAGTGATTTTAGAAAAAAAATTATATTTCTAACATAACCCTAAATCTATCAAAACCAGGTTGTAAAACACCATTGGTCAGTAAAAGAGCATTTTACAGAAAGCCTATGTGAATATGTTAGGTTAGCAGTTAAATTTCTCATGAAAGAAGGGAAATGTCTGCTTTCCTTTTGAATCTGAAAAAAATTAGACACCTCTAATTAGAAAACTGCTAATAGAAGCTACACTTAACATTATTGCTAACAGAAGCTATATTTCCATTAGCACAAACATAAAATCTCCTTATAAAATCTGTGGCATAAAAGGCAAGGGAGGATAAAACACACGCTGGTAATGACAAGAACCAGTGGGGAAAAGCAGCCTTAAATAATTCAACACCCTCATGACTTAAAAGTCCCAGCTATGGTTTAACTCAATTCAAACCTGAGGCTGAAGCCTGAGTCAAACAGTGACTAAAAGGAGTTCAGAATCAGTAAGCGAGATATTAAATCATTGCTGGTTATGTTATAATTTTTAATGAAATTAATAAAAAATTAAATGATTAGAAAATTGAACTAGAATTAAGTTAAAACATATTATTTTTCCCCTCTCAATCATAACAATTATTGGTCCAAGGGATAATAACCTAAATGTCACTGGATAGCAATTATTTGAATCTCAAGTTAGACTAAAAAACTTTCTATTGAAAACAATAATACTTTGGGTGGTGAGCACACAGTGAAGTATATACAGATTTTATATCCCAGAACTGTACACTTGAAACCTCTATGTTCCTATTAACCAATGTCACCCCAATACATTTAATAAAAAATAATAAATAAATAAAAAACAGTGATAGTAAATAAGTAAAAAATAAATGCCCTAAACACAGGATAAAAGATCACATCTCCATAGGTTCTAAATACCTCCTAGTTTATCATTTTAACCACATGGACAGGTGTCCATAGCATTGGATTGCTTACTGGCTGCTTACCTGGAAATTACTACCTAGGGATCTACGAAGAAATAGAAAGATGAATTCAAATAGTGTAATAAGTTTCAGCAGGAAAACGAAGCTGAAAATATCAGGTCCTTCTGTAGGAATATGTGAAGGGGAGAAGGGATCGAGCCTAGAGGAGAAGTTCATGGCCTCCCACACTCCTATCCAGCCAAAGAGAGCAGGAGGGTACCAAGGTCCCAGCACCCCACATGGGAGCCCCTTCCTGTGTCTAGGGAGCAGCACTCATGCTCTTCAACCACTCCCCCAACTTCTGGCCTCAAATCACATGGAAAGCTCTTAAAACCATTTTTTAAATCTTTCATCTAACAAAGGGAGTTTGCTCCACAGTAAAAAAAAAAAAAAAAAAAAGAGAGAGAGAGAGAGATAAAAATACTATAGAATATTTTACAGGTTCAAAGAGACCAATTTAGCATTTGTTTAAAGTGTGTACTGAGGCTGCTTTCGTTGCCAATAAATATTTCTCATGGAGCCGGTGACAGGATGTCACCGGTGAGTGAAGTGTCTACTGAAATAATAGAAAGAAGAAACATACACAGATTTTTAGGGCTAGACCTTTCTCTCCATTAGGCTCTTAGATTTTGTGGAATGTGTTTTTGGTTTTGTATTAAAGATATTCTTATATTTGCAGTATTTATATATTTTTTTAAAAAAATATTTTTATTGATTTCATAGATGAAGGGAGCGAGAAACGGAAACATCAATGATGAGAGAGAACCACTGATCGGCTCCCTCCTGCCCACCCCCCACTGGGGATCGAGCCCGAAACCAGGGCACGTGCTCTGACCAGGAACTGAACCCTGACCTCTGGTTCACAGGTCAACGCTCAACCACGGGGCCATGCCGGTCGGGCTAGAGAATATTTTAATTTGACCAACAAGGAAAACATCTAAAAAATTATTACCTTCATTAACTTTCTCAGGATGCCATCCTGTGGTCCAACCCAGGGAAAACGTCACATCTGGAAAGAAGGAAGTCACAGTGTCTATAAAAGGCTTTGCATCCACTACTCTGCTGTTTCCATTTGGACCGGGAAGAATGTCGGCGTTAATCCACACAGGACGCTTCAGATGCTTCTTCACATTTTCCAAGAGCATCATGGCTGGCTCTACGGCTGCCAGACTGAAAGCACAGTTTGTTGTCAATGACAGAGACACCTAGAGATTTTGAAACAGTAAGGTTTTAATCAGACTACATAATTTTTCCTTTTAAAAAATGTATAGACAAACTTTATTGGAAGCTATACCTCTTATAATTCTGAACCATTTCAGACCCTTTAAGGCCTATGCTGATTTACAAGAAAATTAGCTTTCCGTGAATACTGTGATGGGAAGCTAAGAACTCTTCTGCCCCTTTTAAATTTTATAAAAATTTAAAAAATGTTGTTCAATTACAATTAACGTTCAGAATTAGTTTGTATTAGTTTCTAGATGTACAGCATAATAGCTAGATAATCATATACTTTACAGTGTTCCCCCTGATGTTTTAGTACCGACCTGGCACGTACATAGTTATTACAATATTATTGACCATGTTTCCTATGCTGTACTTTACATCTCCATGACTATTCTGGAACTACCAATCTGCACGTCTCAATCCCTTCCTCTTTTTCACCCACTTTCCCGAAACCCTTCCCCTCTGGCAACCATGAGTCTATTCTCTGTACCTAAGAGTCTGTTTCTGTTTTGTTGTTCATTTATACTGTTCTTTAAACTACATATGTAAGTGACATCATATGGCATTCGTCTTTCTCTGTCTGACTTATTTCACTTAGCATAATACTCTGTAGGTCCATCCATGCTGTCTCAAATGGTAAGATTTCATTCTTTTTTATTGGAGGCCCTAGATCTTAGTGGACTAATAAGTTCTAATGCTGCAAATTCTTAACGTAGATGCTGTACTTCTCTGTCTCATATGCACTCTGCCTTGAAGGGAATCAATACCATGTTAAAATGACAATTCTGATTACCTGACACTGTACTTCCTAAAAATTCCCCCATTTTTGGTAGCAAGCACCTTATACCTGTGATTCCAAAGCTTGTGTGTCTGCAAATCCTATGGGGTTCTGCTCCTCCTGGGTGCAGCACGGGGAAACCCTGAAACTCTTTTCCAGAAAGGACTCTGGTTTCTTAAGAAATCTGGTGTTTGCAGAGGTTTAAGGCTTTCTCAATTTAGTAAGCTGACATAGGGCTGTTTAACATTGGTTTTCCATCTGACAATATCTAGTGTCAAACAGCATTTTCTCCCCAAAATTGAAATTCCATCAGCATATATAAGTGTCGACTACATGCAAAGCACTGTGCAATAAGAAACTATGACACGAAACACAATGAAGCAAGAATTTAATATACATATTCCATTTTATATGTAAATATTTTAGTTACCACTAATATAGATTGCTAATACAAAAAGTAATGATACATTCCCTTACCAAACACTTAAATATGAAAAACAAAACCTACATTAAGTAAAACATAAAACCTTACTAAAGCAAATAACACTTTTGTTGTTATAGTTCTTATTATTCTAGAACTTGACAAGATAATTCTAAAGGAATAAATGTGGAGGAAAAGCCTGGAAGACACAATATTGTAAATCCTGTATAATGACACATCCCTCCCAATCCTACATAATAAAACCCTAATATGCAAAACGACCAAATGGCAGAACGACCAGTCACTATGACATGTACTAACCACCAGGGGGCAGATGCTCAACGCAGGAGCTGCCCCTAGCCCGCAGGCCCCAACCAGCAGCAGCAGGGGTTGGGGCCAGCAAGAAGGGAGCACCAGGCCAGCCAAGGCAGGTGCCAGCAGGGGCCCCAATTGCCCCACCAGTTGCCCCAAGGATCGGCCCTGACTGCTGGCCAGGCCTAGGAACCCTTCCCATGCACACATTTCATGCACCAGGCCTCTAGTTAAACTATAAATTCCATGTAATTCTAATTACATTCTCAGTTCTTATATGTATTAGTATTGTTTCCCATAAAGGACTGTCTAAAGGTTTGCCACATTGATAATTTGAAGAGGGAAGTCCTGATCAGAATACTCTCTAAAATTTCTCTTTGCTTAGTATTTTTCTAAATCCCCAGAAAAAAATTTAAACTTAGTTTTTATAGAATAGATTTTTTTCCTAAAAAATTACATGTATGTCAAACTTCTGAGTATCACATCCTATTTTTCTATTAAATTCATTTAAAAATTAGGGGTGAATAATTAAAATCATACTTAAAATTGCAATAACTCATTTAAAATTACATTCTAAGGGAAATATTTTGGCTAAAACAAAGGAGTTTGTTACTCCAAATAAAATTTTTAAATCATCATATATTACTTAGTTATTATTGTTACTTAACAAATTAACTTCAAGGTACAAAACAAGAGCTAGTAAAATTTGACAAAAAGGTCATTCAGTTTCTCTTATTGAGAAGGTGAAGAGTTTTGCTTCAGAGTGTAAACTTTACTCAGATGAGCAGCACCCTTTAAATACGTTATTACCAAAAAGTCTTTTTTTTACTGGCCTTTTGTGGTAGCTGTCAATGTTGAAGAATGAATGAGCTGCCCTGCTGGTGTAGCTCAGTGGTTGAGCATCAACGTATGAACTGATTCCTGGTTGGGGCACATGCTTAGGTTGTGGGCTTGATCCCCAGCAGGGGACGTGCAGAAGGCAGCTGATCAATGATTCTCATTATAGAAGTTTCTATCTCTCTCTCTCCCTCTTCCTTCCTCTCTGAAATCAGTAAAAAAAATTTAAAAAAATTATATATATATATATATATATATATATATATATATATATATATATATATGAATGAGCTCATCTGACTGGCAAGGAGCCAAAGAATACACCTCAGGCCGGGACCGGTTTGGCTCAGTGGATAGAGCATTGGCCTGCGTGCGGACTGAAAGGTCCCGGGTTTGATTCCGGTCAAGGACATGTACCTTGGTTGCGGGTATATCCCCAGTAGGGGGTGTGCAAGAGGCAGCTGATCGATGATTCTCTCTCATCGATGTTTCTAACTCTCTCTCTCTCTCTTCCTCTCTGTGAAAAAAATCAATAAAATATATTTTAAAAAAAAGAATACACCTCAGGGAATAACTCAAGGAGCAATAATAATCATACAAAAAAAACAAAACAAAACAAAACAAAAAAACTAAACGCATGGAGAGGCAAGGAGATCTAAAACTTTGAATTACCAGGCATTGAAGATCCAAGTATTTTGTTCTATGGTATATTGAACTGGCTCCAGGACATCTGAAATCTGCCAAAACCTCCCCCAGCTGCCAAGCTCAGCTGTTGTCCCTGAGTAAATCACTTAACCTCTCTGGGACTAAATTTCTTTGTCAATGAAATGGAATTGAAACATTCACCATCTTAAAAGTTTTTCCACTTACTGTAAATAGCTCTAGAATTCACCAACAAGTTGGTCCGAAGGTTGTGGGTTATTGTTAAGCTGAATTCACCAACAGTACAATGAGGTTTACTGGTATATTTAGCCCCACAATAAATGACTAGAGTCATCTTAATAACTCTATGAATAAGATTTCCAAATACACGCTGAAACCGGTCTGGCTCAGTGGTAGAGCATCGGCCTGCGGACTGAAAGGTCCCAGGTTCGATTCCAGTCAGGGGCATGTACGTTGGTTGTGGGCACATCCCCGATAGGGGGTGTGCAAGAGGCAGCTGGTCGATGTTTCTCTCTCATCAACATTTCTAGCTCTCTGTCTCTCTCCCTTCCTCTCTGTAAAAAATCAATAAAATATATATATATATAAAAGATTTCCAAATACATTTTTTTTTTCTCCAGAGGGTGGAAGGAAGAGGCAGAGAGGGACAGAAACATCAATGATGAGAGAGAATCAGCTGCCTACTGCACATCCCTACTGGGGATCAAACCTATAAGCTGGGCATGTGCCCTGACCAGGAATCAAACTGTGACTTCCCCATTCATGGGTCAATGATCAACCACTGAGCAACACCAGCCAGGCAGATTTCCAAATCCTTATTAATTTCTTAAGACCATTCAATTTAAAAATATTGTTCAGAGATGAAAAAGGCTTACCACAAATCTTAGATTTCCATAGAAGTTGCTTTAGTACTTATGTTGAGCTTCTAGGGTGACCCAATATATTTCTGGCTTGACTTAAAATTTTCACACTACCAAAATACCAGAAAAATAAAACTTACTATGAAAGCTACCAGGAAGTAAATTACACTTAATCTTGCTCTTCATTATCAATGCCTCCAAAATACTGTTTTTTAAGGAACATTTCAGTAATTGAAGAAATCTAAACAATTCCCTCTACACAAATATAACAACATAAATCAAGTAGAATATGCATTAACTATTTCAACAAAATTCTCTCAATTCCTTCTCTTCTGGACTACCTTTTAGCAGAGGTAGCATTGTAAATTGACTGTTGTATTACCACAATGGACACTTACAATAAATTCCTTTATAAAAATTAACTTTAAACAGCTCAGTGTGTCTTAGATCCATTCCTAGAATGTATCAGTCTGCAATTCCATTTCAGTGTAAGTAAAAAGTACAAAGTTAGTTAGTCAGCCACAGATATGAGAAGCTATTAACTCCTCCCCCCAAATAAATTATTCTGTAACAACCAGAAGACTGAATATATTTGTACAAATACCTCTTAAAATCCAGCTTGATGCCTTTATTGCTTTTCGTAACTTCAGTCAGCCATTCCTGGAGAGTATTGTCACTACTTGTTTCAGGAGGATGGGCCATGATCGGTTGGCTCTGGTCTGATCCCTCACTTGGAAGGAGGACGTCAGCCTCTATCATGTGGGCAGTACCTGTCCAAATGAAAGAAGTTAATATTTACAAAACAGGGACTGCAGGTGCCATGGCCAGTGTCCTTTTGAGAAAGAGAAAAGCATATCTGCCAATATGCTCAGATATTTTTTAAAGAGTTGAATTCATCTATTACCCAATCTATATACACTGAGTGGCGAGATTATTATGACAGCCGACGTTTGTGGGCAAATTAGCCGTACACTGCATCGTATGGGATATGGAAGCTGAAGGCCTGTTCAAACACCTTTGCTGTCTGCAGTTACCAAGATAAAGCATCTCCAATTCACATAGGAACACAAGGATTGGACAGTTGACCATTGGAAAAAAGTCATGTGGTCCCATGAATCACATTTCCAGTTGCATCATGAAGATGGCAGAGTGAGAATTTCTCGGAAATAGAATGAAAACATGCACCCCACATGCAAAAGTACAACCCTTCAAGCTGGTGGAGACAGTGTAATGGTTTGGGGCATGTTTTCCTGGCATGATTTGGTCCCTTTAATTCGTGTGGAACAACATCTGGATAGCATAACATACCTAAGTATCATTGTTGATCAAGTTCATCCTATCATGATGGCGCATCCCAAGGGAGATGGCTTCTCCCAACAAGACAATGCGCCATGCCACGGTGCTTGTATTGTGCAGGAGTGGTTTCAAGAACATGAGGGAGACTTTACCTTGCTTAGGTGGCCCCCACATTCACAAGATCTCAATCCAATTGAGCATTTGTAGGACGAAGTTAAAAGAGCCATCAGGCAGCTGGTTCCACAACCATCCAATCTCACAGAACTGGACAGTGCTATTCATCAGGCATGGTGTCAGATTCCTCGCATCACCTTTCCACATCTTGTGGAGTCAATGCCAAGAAGAATCGCAGCAGTATAGAAGGCAAAAGGTGTCCCAACAAAGTACTGATGGGGTGATCATAATAATCTGGCCACTCAGTGTACATAAAAGGCTAATATGCTAAGTGTTTGATTGGTAGCTATGATGCGCCCTGGCCATCAGGGGGCAGACACTCAACACATAGGTATGGAAACATGGAAGAGACTGATGAATTTCAGGGGGGAGGGGTATCAGGGCTTGTGGGATTGAGCTGAATCCATGCACCAAGCCTCCAACATCCCCCTAGGAGCCCTAGATTGTGAGAGGATGCAGGCCAGGCCAAGGGACCCCACCAATGCATGAATTCATGCACCAGGCCACTAGTGTAAATATAAATAACTGCACTGACTTACTTTTCAGTGCCTCATTCATTTGTGCCTTATGGTTAGCAGCATGATACCAGGTGATCTGGGCACCATCTTCTGTTTTGATATGGTTATTTCTCAGAAAATACTGCAGTATATTTTCACTCCAAGATCCTAAAATAAAAGTATTTTAATGAAAAAGAATAGATTGTTTCATATGGGGTAAATACTTTTAATAAAAAAGGGCACAGCAGAGAGAATAAAGTAATTAAATGGAGAAAAACAAGAAATTTTTAAAAATGAGAACAAGTATGATATGCAGGTATTTAATATATATTTAAATATGTAAGCATGACACATACAATATAAGTAATAATTAGCAAACATATAGGATAGTCTGGATTTCAGAAGAATGAAAAAGCATGTAGAAAGAAAAAAAAAAAAAACTGGTAAGATACAGATATTTTAAAGCAGGAATTTTCACACTGTGTTACATGGATTCCAGGCCCCTTAAATAAGTAAAACCTGTTACGCCAAAGCTATATTAAAAGCTTCTAAATTTTATACAATTTAGTTGTTTTCTCTACCAGAAGCCCCATTCCATATTTATATTAACAACTTAGAACCTTAAATTACACAGTGAAGTATATTTACCTTCAGATTATGAGTCTTAGCAACATTTATACGAATGACTAAGTAAACACCTGAGTTAATATTCACAGATTTATCTAGCGAGTACAAATATACATAATTCCCATATCTATAATTACTTTTTGGCAGACCAGATTTTATCTTAATTAAACATTAATATGAGTTAACCAAGACCAAAACACTTCAATTCAGATCTGTCCCAAAGTATGCCATATCCTACAACAGCAATGAGAAAAAGCTGAAAAACAATGAAAAAATGCCAGGGATTGGGGTGGGATAAGGGTTGGATCAGAGTATTTGGGAGCAGAGAAACTATTTTTGTATGACACCATAGGACTGGATACATGTCATTATACATTTGTAATGTGCAGCACCAAGAGTGAACCCCGGTAAACTGAGGACTTTGGGTGATTACGATGTGTCAACGCAGGTTCACAATTGTAATGCTCCCTGGGGAATGTTGATAATGGGGAGGCTATGCATGTATCCAGGAAGGGGATAGATGGGGAATCTGTTTCTCCCGTTCAATTTTCCTATGACCCTAAAACTTCTCTTACAAAAAAACGAAGAAGGGAGCAATATTCTTGGCATTCTTGGTCGCCAGAACAGTGTTGGTTTTTGTTTTTTTCCCCCCTCTTAACGCCCACGCAGAACCAAGGTTCCAGGCCAATGGAATGCGCATCGCCAGGATGGGAAGAAAAGGAGGGGTGCTGCCCGAGGAGATCTCACTATCTCTTCCCACGGCAAGGAAAGTGCAGGATGTGGAGCCCGTCCTGCGGAGCTGTCAGTGGCGCTTACCAGGGCCCCCGGCGGTCGTTTCCATGGTGACAGACGCCCGCCGCCCGCCAGCGCTAGGCCCTGGGCACCGCGGGTGACCCTTCGCAGGTGACGTGGAAGCACAACTCCAGCACAGAGGGGTGAGCCGTCAGTCTCCCAGCGCGACCGCAGAGCAGCCTGGGAAGCCGGGGCGGAAGTGGCGCGGGTGGAGAGAATGCGCAGGCGCAGAGGCTGTGGCTGGTGCGCAGGATCCGCAGGCTCCGCGGCTGTTGGGCTGTTCAAGTGTCGCGCGAATTTTATTTTTATTTTTTGGAAAAGTTGTCAGAAAAAAGGTAGGTAGTTCTGAAGACAGACCCGGGGTCTGGGAAGACAGAGGCAGAGGATGAGGCCCTCCAAATCTTTGGGTCTGGTCCTGCCAAGGCAACCGCAGGTGGGACTCGAAATTTGATAAATGAAGGAGCTGTAAATGTAATTTACAATTTTTATTATTCTGTTTGTTCAAATCTAATCATTCGTGTCATAAGAAGCACCTCAGTAGTAGTAAGTCTGTTGTATTACGTTTTATTCTATAGAGTGTTGTTAGTTCTGTGGGTGGAATATCATGACAAGGATTTCCAAGTGAAAAAATAAAACTGGGGGGGAGGGGTGGGCAATGGTAAGATATGTACACATATAATACCTTAATAAAAAAAAATGAAAAAAAACAGCAAAAAACTGGAAGCAGATGTTGAACCTGGTGAGAAAATTGTAAAGTGTACCGAAGTAACTGCAGAAGAAAATTCCTTCCCTTTACATGCTGGGTTTGGATATGGTTTTTGTGTTTTTTTAACTGGGAGATAACGCACTACTCAACTTCTGAATGTTTTGGTACAGTGTATTACACTTTTTACATTATATCTTCTAACGCCAAATTTGGTTTTCCATAGTATTATTTATGTCAGGCTATTGTATGATGACACTGCCTGCCAGCTCACAGTTAAGTTTTGGCAGCATGGCTATATTTGTTTATTTAGAAGCTAGTATCCCCGTGCACGGATTTGATTGAAAGGAAATTAATTAGGAGGTGACCAGTGCGGTGGGACTGGACAAGATAGGCTGGACACACCCTGGAGCCAGCCTCCCGAGGCCCCACCCTTGCCAGTTGCACATGGGGCCTTGCTGTGGCTCCAAGGGCGTCTGCAGAGTGAAGGGGTCCCTCCAGCAGGTGAGGGTCCCTCAGCCTGGCCTGTGGGGATTGGGCCAAAACCAGCTCTCAAATATCCCTTGAGGGGTCCCAGATTGTGAGAGGGTGGTACTTGGGTGATGCATCCCAGAATTGGGCTCCCTCCTCTCTAGTTCGGTTCCGGAGTGCATCATCTGAGAATCACCATTGCCAAGTCACCACAGCTTTGCAGCTCCTGCGTTGAGCGTCTGCTCCCTGGTGATCAGTGCGCATCATATCTACCAGCCAGTTTGATGGTCGCTTAGCCTTTTATATACACTGAGTGGCCAGATTATTATGACCACCCCATCAGTACTTCATTGGGCCACCTTTTGCCTTCTATACTGGGTGATTCTTCCTGGCATTGAATCCACAAGATGTGAAAAGGTGATGTGAGGAACCTGACACCATGCCTGATGAATAGCACTGTCCAGTTCTGTGAGATTGGATGGTTGTGGAACCAGCTGCCTGATGGCTCTTTTTAACTTTGTCCCACAAATGCTCAATTGGATTGAGATCTTGTGATTGTGGGGACCACCTAAGCAAGGTAAAGTCTCCCTCATGTTCTTGAAACCACTCCTGCACAATATAAGCACCGTGGCATGGCGCATTGTCTTGTTGGGAGAAGCCATCTCCATTGGGATACGCCATCAACATGATAGGATGAACTTGATCAGCAACGATACTTAGGTATGTTGTGCTATTCAGACGTTGTTCCACACGAATTAAAGGGCCCAAATCATGCCAAAAAAACATGCCCCAAACCATAACACTGCCCCCACCAGCTTGAAGGATTGTACTCATGCAGGTGGGGTGCATGCTTTCATGCTGTTTCCGCCAAATTCTCACTCTGCCATCTGCATGATGCAACTGGAAACATGATTCATCGGCCACATGACTTTTTTCCAATGGTCAACTGTCCAATCCTTGTGTTCTTGTGTGAATTGGAGACGTTTTATCTTGGTAATTGCAGACAGCAAAGGTGTTGGAACAGGCCTTCAGCTTCCATATCCCATATGATGCAGTGTACGGCTAATTTGCCTACAAATGTCAGGTTGTCATAATAATCTGGCCACTCAGAAAATAAATAGATATGTTCTTGGACTATATTATTTTCATTTTTCTCTTATTTAACAAAAATTAAAATATTTTATTGATATAATTTATAATGGCACATGCAAGTTATTTTTAAATGTTTCTTTTCTAAGAAAGGGATATGAAATTATAAACCCCCTAAATTCTTAGTCTACCTCCATACCCATCCTCACTCTGTCTCCCATATCAGGCAATCAGTGTTACTGCATATGTGATTTTTATACATGCATAAGATAGAAACTATATAGGTCATACAAATTATAAAACATTCTTTGTTCAATCTTAACTTTATTAAGATGTCCCTTATACGATGGTGATCTTATAGAGTAGACTCATTAGTACCCTTCTCTAAGCTGAGTTAAGGCTTTCATAGCTATAGGTTAACTTTAGGTAAAAATAGCTAAGTCATTTCCAAATTCCATAACTCACACCTGCTCTACAGGTACCTCATGCTTGATTTTTAAATTTTTATTATTTCTTTAAACACAGAGGCATAAATCTAATGCCTAAGTTTATATGAGTTTGTTTTCATTGTTTCTACTAATGCTTGCCTCTGGAGACTAGTTTCCATTTGCACTTTTATTTTTTATTGCGTTAGATGCTACACTTGAAAAGTAATTTGAGGCCTCCAGTGAAATTCCTTTTCTATGGAGAAGATTTCGTTTTTGCCATGGTGACAACACCAGGAGACATCTCCAGTGTGGGACTACCTTAAAAGCAAGTTAAATGCTTAAGATTCTTTGTGCAATGTAGGCAAATCTAATCTTGGCTATACTTTTGCATAATTTATACTTCTGGTTCATCCTCATCCAAAGACTGAAACTGGGATAGGTCTCGGCCTCTTGTGGGAAAATTGTTAGATTCACCACCTTGTGTAGCCTTGAACTTTGCTATCTGTCCCCCTTACTCCTTAAGGCTGTCACAGTAGAGCCCCATGTTCACTTCACTTCTCTTTTTACCTTTGGACAGGACATCACTTGCTGCCTTAAAAAGTCCTTCATGTTGAAACCGATTTGGCTCAATGGATAGAGCATCGGCTTGGGGGCTGAAAGGTCCCAGGTTCGATTCCGGTCAAAGGGCATGTACCTTGGTTGCAGGCATATCCCCAGTAGGGGGTGTGCAAGAGGGAGCTGATCGATGACTCTCTCTCATCGATGTTTCTAACTCTCTATCTCTCTCCCTTCCTCTCTGTACAAAATCAATAAAATATATATATATATTTTAAAATGTCCTTCATGTTTTAATATGATTTTTGGTATCTTAATCAGCTTTAGTTGTTTTCGGCAGGAGCATGATCTAAATATCTTAGCATGTAATTTCCAGAAACAGGAATTTTCCCATAATTGCATCTTTTATTTGTACATGACCAAATCCTACTTTTTCTCTTAGGGTCCTCTGCTTTAGCATACATTGCTTGTGGCATGGAATCCATAAATGTTGATAATTTGATAATATGCTGTTAGAGCAATTAATAATTTTTAGCTAGTTTTACTTCAGCTGCTCAAAGATAAAGGTATCTTCTACTTGTTAACTCATATTTGTTGCTGTATATAAATAAATTACTAGAAAACATCACTTTAAAACAACAAATGTTTATTATTTTACACAGTTGTTGAAATTCAAGAATCTGAGAGTGAGTGGCTTAGTTGAGTGGTTCCCATGAGGCTGCAAAGTTTTGGTTGGGGCTGCAGTTTGAAGGCTTGACTAGGGATGGAGGACCCACTTCCACTCCTGTGGCTGTTGTCAGACTTCGGTTCCTCGCCAAGTGGGCTTCTCCGTGGCACTGCCCACACGTGGCAAACGGCTTCCCCAAGAGGAGTGATCCAATAGGGAGGGAGAGAGACAGAGAGGGAAGGAGATGGGAGAGAAAAGGATGAGAGTGGAGATAAATGCAGCAAAGATGGAAAACAGAGTCTTTTATAACATAATCGTGGAAATGACATCCCATTCCTTCTACCATATTCTGTTGGTTATAAAGACCAATAGTGAGTGGTACAGTGTGTGAATACCAGGATGCATGGAACATTGTGGGTTATCTTGGAGGCTTTCAAGCACCTTATTTTCCCAAAGAGAAAAAACCTTTATCATATTCAGAGGTTCATAATAAAGCACTTGAAAATAGACCTGTTTCTCTATTCGTAAAAAGCATGAAAATATGGTTTCAATTTTATCTATACAAATGCAGAAAATATTTCCCAAAAGGTGTTACATGTTAAATTGTGTATCATTCCAAGCTAAATCCTAAACATAGAATGTAAATATTTAAAACTACTAATAATCTCATTTTAAAAAATGTATTCAGTGGTAAAAGATAAATTTAGATGGTGCGGCTTAATGTCTGGTAGAAAAAAACAAAGATTTTAAATACAGATGAAATAAAAAATAACCATGCAAGTGTTTTAGTAATGAAAATTTAAGAGAAAATAACCCTCCTACTGAAACATATGGTTATAATTTCAATAATGGATTTGCTTGCCTTTCCACAATAAGATGCTTTTATCAATTATTGAGTAAAAGTGGGGAGCAATACAGTCTTTTAAGATTCTAAATATAAACCACATAATTCAAAATAATTGAAGTATAATTGAAATGGTATTCTTCAGTATAAATAGTATGCAACATTTGTATAAAAGAATGAGGGGAGCCCTGGTCAGCTGGCTCAGTTGGTTGGAGCATCGTCCCTTACACAAAAAAGATTGTGGGTTCGATCCCTGGGTGGGATGCAAAAGGAGGTAACCAATCAATGTTTCTTTCTCACATCCATGTCAACCTCTCTCCCCCTTCCCCCCCTTCCTCTCTCTCTCTCTCTCAAACCAATGAAAACATAACCTTGGGTAAAAATTAAAAAATATATGGAGAAAAATATATATACTTATGTATTTACTATTACTGCACCCATACTTAGGCAGATACACAGGAAACTAACAAAAATGATTATCTTTTGAGTTTGAAGAGTGGGAAGAAACAAAGTACAATATATGCACACTGGTAGAAGGTGGGAAGTAAAACTTTCATTGATAAGTTTTTTCTAATATGTGAATCATGTATATATATGGAACACTTTTTTAATCACAAAGAAAAATTAAGACCTAGCATGGTTCGGAAGTTTATAGTTTATTTCAAGATATATTGTTTAAGTAATGGGGGAATGAGGACATATATGTAATACCTTAATCAATTAAGAAATTTTAAAAAAGATATTGTTTAAAAATGAGTAAAGTTATGCTTGCTATTAAAAAAAGAAAAGCTGTTATCCTATCTAATAAAGAGGGGATATGCTAATTGACCATCACACCCTCACAAAGATGGAGGTGCCCACAGCCAATAAGGAATATGCTAATTGACTGTCACACCCTCAAAGATGGCAGCACCTACAGTCACAAGATAGTGGCGCCAGTCCCCTCAGCCCCACCAGGATGGCAGGCGTGAGGCACGGCTGGGCCCGTCCCTAGGTGAGTCTGCCCACTCCACGCATCTGCTTCCAGAGCCCCCAGTCCCCTCAGACCCCCAGCTGCCCAGGGCCAGCCCAAGGCACAGGCAAGCCTTGGATGGCGGCTGCCTAGCCTCCCAGGGCCGCCTGAGGCTCAGGTAACCAGGGCTGGCAGAGGCTTGTGCTGCCAGCAGTGGTGGCAGCAGAGGTGTGATGGGGGTGTCACCTTCCCCTGATCGCCTCCTGCCCCTGAGGGCTCCTGTTCTGTGAGAGGGGGCAGGCCAGGCTGAGGGATTCCCCCTTCTAGTGCATAAATTTTCATGTACTGGGCTGCCAGTTTACTTATAAAACAGTATCTAAATCCAAGCTGTTATAAACGTGGACATGTATTTGAGATACCCATGTCAGGCTACTACTTTTATAATAATTAAATTATAAGGTAAGACATTCACACAGAAGACTATTTTAATCCTCACCCAAGGATATTTTTCAATTGATTTTTTTTTTTTTTTTAGAGTGTGTGGACGAGAGAGGGAAAGACAGAGAAATATCGATGTGAGAGAAACACATCAATTGGTTGCCTCCTGCAGGAGTCCTGACCAGGGTGCCAGTGCCAGGGAGGACCTTTCAACCAAGGTACATGCCCTTGACTGGAACTGAACCCGCAACCCTTAGGTCCACAGGCCGATGCTCTATCCACTGAGCCAAACCAGCTAGGGCACAAAAGAGTCTTTAAAGTAAATAGCCTTATGAGGGAAAGTTTGGTCTTTTTACATATTACTTTTTAGATTTTCAATTCTTGCCTAGCCAAGTTTAGTGCCGACCATCTAACAGGTTCTCAGGTTGCCTTCTCATTATTGGCATGGTTATCCTGGATTGTTTTCCAACCACCTAGACTAGATCTATATTTCTATTACAGCAATTACTTTAACTTTGTTAATGATCTGCTTCACACATTCCAAGAGGGAAAGAACTATTTATTCATCTTTCAACAAGTGAAGGATAATAAAGTGCTCTGCAGATAGCAAGTACCGGTATATATATATACCCAAAGTTTGTTCGATGGCTCCATAAAACAATGACCTAGATTATATTTCACATTTCAAAATTCAGAGAGAGAGAATAGTATTAAAAGGCATAAGACCAAAAACAGATAATTGCAGACTGAGTACAAAAACCATTTCTATTTTTCACCTTTAAAAATTTTAAACTTTAAGTACCAATATGAAGAACATGACAACAAATGCATTCAGAGACATACTGTACAAAGAATACTTTATTTTCTTTTTAGCCTCACCCGAAGATATTTTCCCACTGATTTTTAGAGAGAGTAAAAGGGAAAGGGGAAGACAGAAACATCGATGTGAGAGATACACAACGATTGGCTACCACCCGCAGGAGCCCCGACCAGGACCCGGGCTCCAGGAGGAGCTTGCAGCCACGGTATGTGCCCTTGACTGGAATCTAACCTGGGACTCTGGTCCACAGACTGACGCTCTATCCACTGGGCCAAACCAGCTAGGATTTCAAAGAATACTTTAAAAGATGCCTCCAAAAGCACATAATTCCAATTATTATGAAATGTAGTTTTTTTCAAAAAACAAATCATTATGGAAGAGCCCTCTACTATTTGTTTATTTTATATTTAGATTGTGCAATAATTTATATTGCAAAATAAACACAATATAAAGAAAACAAATTGAGTTTAATATGTCATTGCTTTTACCTTATGCTATTGCAATTAATTTCACAAGTTATATGTTATCATTTTATTTAATATTTGCAACATTTCACACTGTTTTTGAAGTAGCTACTTCCAAAAGACTGATATTCTCCTCTATACCGCCTTTGGCTAGTACTACAGATGTGATTTAGTAGGAACCATATGGCCAATCTGATTAAAATTCTTAGCCTCTCCTAACCTAAGACCTCTCAGTTCCTGAGTTATAACTGTTTTTGGTCTTCAAGTTGAGATACTTCCTAAATATCTTTTTTAAAAGAGGGCTCTTTAGTGTAATTTCTTTTTCTTGAGATATACAAGATTTTTATACAAAAACATATATATTTCACTTAAGAATAAAAAAAAGCATCAAAATATGATTATATTTTATATAACTTAAATGACAGTACTAACTAAAAATATACTCATAACTTTTTTTTAACACAACATTTCTTATTTTGCTTTTTGAAGTAAAGAGGAAAGTTCTGTAATAGTTTTAAATACATAGAATTTAACTTATGTTAATATTCGGTTATAAAAAATAACTACCATATAAAGAATTTAAAATATGCAAAAGTAATTAGTTCATTGAAGTTTATAATAAATACATCAGTGTCAATGAAAATATGTAGACTTGCCAAGAAACTTCTAAGGTTTAAAGTCAAAATAATAAAAATTTGTTTCATGCTTCATTTTATTGCTACATAATGACTATTTCAAGGGTCATCTGGCCTGTCGTCAATCACTTTTTATATAAGTGGCAAATATAGTGGTATACTTTGGAAAGAAAAGAGAAAAAATAATATAGTGCAATACAAAAATATTGCCTATTTATAAATTATTAAAGATTTATAAAACACATACCAAATGACATGTTCTCACTATAAAAACAATATACTTAAATATAGAAGCACAGAATCGTGAAGCACCCACAGTTATTTTAAGAATACCCATTTAATCAAGAGAAAACCATATATGGAATAATTTGAGAAGAAAAAGGGAAAATTCTGATTTTAATCCAAACAATCAAGAGTTTATCTAGTCATGGAGGTAGGGCTCCACTCCAATTATACAAATAAGTTGTCTGCCTTATTCAAAGAACATCATATTAAGTCTAATATGGAAACTGGTCTGCGCCATTGAAGTATATTTTTAACAGACTTTAGAAACCAGTAATCTCACTGCCATATACAGAAGAGATATTTCGCTTTATAAGGTTACATCTGAAAAAGAGCCTTCATTAAAACTGATCTTGGCATAAAGAGGTATTACTAAGTGCAGATACCTTGGCATAGCATTTAAACAACACAATAAATGCTACAAATTTCTTGAAGACAGAAGCAATCCTTGTCTTTTTAGTATTTTTATTAAGTGTAAATCTTCAAAAACTGGATCGCATAAGTTTTTAGAGATTGAAATTGTGCTAATGATTTTTAAAAAATCATTCCTGCCTATAAAGCAAAATTTCTATGTGTTTCAAACATTAAACATATTTACTTTTAGTGTTCATGGCATTTTAGGTTTAGTGCTGGAGTTAGTTTTAACAAATCAGTTGCAATATAAATACTATGATTCACTAATATCTTTTCACTAAAAAAGATTTTCTATAATGAAAAATACTAATTCTATTTCTAATGGTAAACTAGTAGAGTTGGAGGTTCCCCCATGGATCACAGGTATTAGAGCACTATCAAGATCATTTAGATAATGCTGAGGAAGAAGTCGGCCTTCGGATCCTGCCTGAAATTCAACCTGGAAAAAAAAAATCTTGATAAGTCAATCCTAGAAAGTGAGCAATCTTGTTTAGCTCAGTATATGAATGTAAAATAACTAAAAATAACATCCAGTTTAAGCATGTTAAGAATATAATTGGCATTTTATTCATAAAATATTCTCCTACATTTCTTTTATCCATATATCACATAAATTGTAATTGTTCCTCCTACATATCCCATTAAAATAAAAAAATTGCCAGTAATTCATATTTTAAGTTTCTTCTCAATGAGCATGTAAACACACTGAAGGGCTAGCTTTTGAATGATTACCAACATGACTTAAATGCAAACCACATGGTGTTAATAAAAATAATCTACTTCAAAATATTTTTAAGCCGGGACCGGTTTGGCTCAATGGATAGAGCGTCGGCTTGGGGACTGAAGGGTCCCGGGTTCGATTCCGGTCAAGGGCATGTACCTTGGTTGCGGGCATATCCCCAGTAGGGGGTGTGCAAGAGGCAGCTAATCGATGACTCTCTCTCATCGATGTTTCTAACTCTCTATCTCTCTCCCTTCCTCTCTGTATAAAATCAATAAAAAAAAAAATATATTTAAAAAAATATATATAAAAAAATAAAAAAATAAAAAAAAAAATATTTTTAATTTGTTGTTGCATAATAATATTTGAATTTAATGTTGCTGATAAAAATTATATTTTAATTTGCCTAGAGAAATATTAACAGTGCTTACTCAAATAACACACAAATGTCAGACATTTCCTTGAAAAAGGAACTTTTAACAGTGAGATGAAAATATAAGTTCTTTCCAATAAGAACTCTGAGTATAACACATCCTGACTGAAGTAAGTCTTCAGCATTTGAACTCATTCATGTTTAGATAATCCATTCTAAAGAAGAAACTGCTTTGAAATTTATTATGTTGGATGTTGGAAACAGAAATGTGCGTTACAATAATACTGGAGTACTATTTTTTACCTATCACATTGGTAAAGTTCAAAAGTTTGATCACATACTGCTTTGATAAGTATGTGAGGGGAAAGAACCCTCTCAAAATTATGGTAGAAATATAAATTGGTATAACATCTATTTTAGACAAGTACGGTAATACCTATTGAGTACATTTTTGGATTAGACAATTCTAAAAATGTTTCTGATATACTCACACTTTCACAAAGGCAAAATATTGTGGATTATCTAAATATAAATCAGTGCATATAAAAAATATATAAGAATACTATCTAGCCAAGACCGGTGTGGCTCAGTGTATAGAGCGTCAGCCTGTGGACTGAAAGGTCCCATGTTCGATTCCAGTCAAGGGCATGTACCTTGGTTGCAGGCACATCCCTAGTAGGGGGCGTGCAAGAGGCAGCTGATCAATGTCTCTCCCTCATCAATGTTTCTAACTCTCTATCCCTCTTCCTTCCTCTCTGTAAAAAATCAATAAGATATATTAAAAAAAAAAATACTATCTAATAAAGAGGGAATATGCAAATTGACCATCACATCATCACAAAGATGGCAGTGCCCAGTCCCCTCAGCCCCCTCCCTGGATTCCCCCAATCCTTTCAGCCCCGCAAGGGGGTGGGGGGGGGAAGGAGGAGGTTGCAGGTGCACGGTGTGGCTGGACTCACCCTCAGCCCCTCAGCCACATAGGGCCAGCCCAAGGTGCAGGCGAGCCTCAGATGGCAGTTGCCCAGCCAACACCCAAGGCAAAGGCAAGCCTGAGGCTTAGGGAACCAGGGCTGGCCAAGGCTTGTGCTGCCAGCAGTAGCAGCAGCAGAGGTGTGATGGAGGCATCGCCTCCCACCCCTGAGGGCTCCTAGACTGTGAGAGGGAGCAGGCCAGGCTGAGAGACCCCCTGCTCCAATGCATGAATTTTCATGCATCGGGCCTCTACTTAGTTAAATAAGAGTAACTTATATAATAAACTACTACTATGCAACTTAAAAAGAATATGTGTTAATGTGAAATCTCTCTTAAGGAACATTAAGTTAAAGAAGGTAAAAAAAAAATACAGTGTAAAAGGGGAAATGAAAAGGACACACACTCACTTGCTTGTACATGTTATAAAATCACAAAGAATACATAAAAATGGGTATCATTTGATTGCCTCACCAGGAAGAATGAGAGGGAATATTGAGGAAGATAAAAGGATTTGGAGTTAAGGATGGAAGGAGATCTTTCCACGTCTATTACTCTACTGGGCATCATTTACATTGTAGCCAGGAATTAAGGTGCCAATTACATAGACTACAATGGGAATGCTGTATTTTGGAAATGTCCAATGAAGCTGTACTGTTATATATACACTTTGAGTAAGTTTAAATAGTTTGAATATAGGATCTATTCAGAATAATAAATTGAAAAAAAAGGATTGTTGTGGAGCAGGGGGTCAGCAAACTATGGCCTGAGAGCCAATCGGCTCACCGTTTTTTAACAAAGTTTCACTGGGACAAAGCCGAGCCTATTGTTCACATTCTTTCTATGGCTGCTTCTGCACTATAATAGAAGAACTGAGTAGTTGTGAAAGATATCATTCAGCCCACAATGCCAAAAATATTACTGTGTAGCCTTTTACAAAAAAAAGTTTGCTGACCCACTGAGGAGAATAAAGGAGATAATGTACCGGTACACGAACTGTGTGCACGAACTGTGTGCACAAACTGATGTGCAATAAATTTTCATGGTCTTTATTCATCCCAAAATGAAAGGTTAAAGAAACACCTTTTGATTGTTTTAATATATGATAAATTCATTTAAAAAATACATCACAAAAACATGCCTCACCATATCAGTGTCGATGGACACTCGGAGGCCAATTTTGTTCATCCCATTGCTCTTTAAAGTTTTCAGGTGAGGGCACAGTGCAGTACTACACGCCATGGCTATTTCTTTTGCAAACTGGTAACGAGTTGCTGAAATAGACACATCCTGGTCCTTTAGAAAGTAGAACACCTGAAATTAGGAAACAAGTCATGTTTAAAAATGCAACAATTGCTACTTTCATATCAACTTTATTAATAAAATTCTAATGCTAGTGCCATGAAATTCATTAGCTTAAGAGCAATATATATAGGAGCATTACACATGCACCCACACACCATGATCTACACATACAAACAAATCATGATCCACATTACATACTAGAAGCCTGGTGCACAAATTTTGTGCATGGGACAAGGTATGTGTCCCTCAGCCCACCCTGCACCCTCTCCAATCTGGGACAACCCTCTCAACACAGACTGCTGACTCCCAACCACTCGCCTGTATGCCTGCCTGCCTGATTGCCCCTAACCACTTTTGCCTGCCAGCGTGATCACCCCCTAACAACTCCCCTGCCAGCCTGATCAATGCCTAACTGCTCCCCTGCCAGCATGATTGCCCCTAATTGCCCTCCCTTGCCAGTCTGGTTGCCCCCAACTGTCCTCCTCTGCAGGCCTGATAACTTGCCAGTCTGATCGCCCCCTAACTGCCCTCTGCAGGCCTGGTCACCACCAACTGCCCTCCCCTGCAGGCCTGGTCCCCCCGCAACTGCCCTCCTCTGCAGGCCTGGTGCCTCCCAACTGCCCTCCCCCGCTGGCCATCTTGTGTGTTGGAGTGACAGTCAATTTTCATATTATCTCTTTATTAGATAGGATAAGTTAACTTAAAACCAAAGATCATGGAACTTGGAAATGACTTAGCTATTTTTGCCTAAAGTTAGCCTGTAGCAACGAGAGCCTTGTTAACTCAGTTTAGAGAAGGTACTAATGAATCTACCCTGAAAGGTAACCATCCTATAAGGACATTTTAATAAAGTTAAGGTTGAATAAAGTAATAATGTTCTATAACTTCTGTATCCTCTATCTTGTAGATATCTATGTAGTTTCTATCTTGTGCATGCATAAAATTCACAAAGAACACATATGCAGTAAGTAACACTGATTGCCTGACCTGGGAGGTAGAGAGAGGGTGAGTATGGAGGTAGACTAAGGGTTTTAGAGGTTTATAATTTCATGTCCCCTTCTTAAAATAAAGAAACTTTAAAAAATAACTTGTATATGTGATTATAAATTGATGTCAACAAAATCTTTTACTTTTTGTTAAAGAGAAAAATGAAAATAATATGATCAAACAATATATTTCTTTATAAATAAAAATGAAAATGCTGCCAAAACTTAACTGTGAGCTGGCAGGCAGTGTCATCATACAATAGCCTGAAATAAATAATACTATGGAAAACCAAATTTGGCATTATAAAAGAAAGTCTGGTAAGAAATATGTGTCTCAAGATATAATGTAAAAAGTGTAATACGCTGTACTGAAACATTCAGAAGTTGAGTAGTGCAGTATCTTCCAGTTAAAAAAACAAAAACCATATCCAAACCCAGCATATAAAGGAAAGGCATTTTCTTCCTCAGTTACCTCAGTACACTTTACAATCTTCTCATCAGTTTCAAAATCTGTTTCCAGTTTTATTTTCTCACTTGGAAATCCTTGTAATGACATTCCATCCACAGAACTAATAATACTATAGAATAAAATTAAATACAAAAGAATTATTACTACTAAAGTGCTTCTTATGACATGAATTATTAGATTTGAATAAATGGAATAAGGACAAAAATTATGAGCTATAAGTTTAAAAACAGCAGTAAGACATCTCAATTACATATAAAATATTTTATAATTAAAACTAGTTTATATTCATTTACCAAGATTTCTTGATATGTAGCAAATTTTATCTACTTTTTCATATGCCCAGTTCATACCTGAAGTTTAAAATATCTTAGTCTTTTAACAGAAAAGCTGTCTCACAAATTTAAAAAAAAAATCTATTTTAGAATCCTTCAGCATTAACCCTCTTCTTTCTTTGCTCCAGACCCATTATCGATTCGCAAAAAAAAAAGAAACAACTGAAAAGAGGAAAGGATGAATGGTGATAATATTCTGTAAGGCCTCTAAAATATATATTATTAAATTCAGTTGTTTGAGTTTACAGTGAGTCAGTATAAAAACAAAATAAACATCCAAGGGGAATCCTTTACTTACTTGACAAAAATAGATATCCTACCATAGAAAAAGTGTCTTGCCTTTCTCAGCCCTGGCATCAAGCCCACACTGCTACACAATGGACATATTGTCATTGGCCCCTCCCAATTGACCACCCTTCAATAACTGACAGCATCCTGGCCAAGAAAACACACATAAGGCTGGTTAGGCATATGTTTGAAAAAAACAGACTGAATTCATTAGTTGAAGTATAAGCACTGAAATTCATGGTATAATTCTGTATTTATTCATAAAAGATTTCTTTTTATTAACAAGATGTTTTTATCCTTCCCTTTTCCATTAAACAATTATATTTTAGTAACAAGAAGTTCCTACCCTTTGTTTCCTTTTTCTTCAGGATCTACCCAGCAAATGTCCACATATTCTCTCAGGTCTATGGCATCAACTTTCCCACATGTAATTTTAAAATCTTTTTGTTCTCGTAGAGCTAGCCGCAAGCCATCCATGGTCTCTGGAGTTATTTGCACCATTAAGCCATCTGAAAATGAGAGTTATATTTCATACTTATTTTACTAAATATCAATTTACATGTCTAAGCCATAAAATTTATTCCAAAATACAAATGTATTTTGTTCTTTGCAAATTTTTTTAAACTCATCTGTTAAATCACTTTAATCATTGTTTTCTATTAGGAAAAAAAAACTATTTCACAAAGTTAATAATGGTAAATAATTCTTTTTAATGAATGGATATAAATTTTCCACTTCTGGCTGTGATACCAAACTAGCTCTTTTGTAATAACCAACCATAAAACTAGGTAAAATGTATAAGGCAACTCTTTCAGTAATAGACAGCAGGAAATGCAATACCTGATCTCTACAAGAAAATTCAACAAATGAGCCCACAATTGCCCAGGCAAAGTCTTGGGACAATGTCTACATGGTGCTCCATTAAGCTGCAATGGCCCTACTGGCTTAAGAAGCTAGAAATAACAGACTGGAAAGTCTCTGAATCTGAGTCAAGACATTAAAGAAGGGGCACTAAAGACTCTGTGCAAGGGCCACTCTGCGTCCTTGGACTAGCACTGGGGAAGAGTGCTGGAGGCTGTGTTCAATCAGCAATAGCCAATTACTTAATCAAGCATGCCTACAGAATGAGACTTCCTCAAACACCAGGGTTCCTGGAGCTTCCTGTTGGGGAACACATCAAGGTGTTAGAAGGGTGATGTGAAGGAAGGGTGGTGGTACATCTGGAGAGGGCATAAATCTCCATGACCTTTCCCTGTGCTTATCTTCTATCAATATTTGGTTGTTCTTAAGTTATATCCTTTATAAATGCTTTATTATAAACCAGTAAACATAAAGTGTTTTCTGAGTTCTGTAAGCTATTCTAGCAAATGTTTGAACCTGAGGAAAAGGTAGTGGGGTCCTCTGATTTATAACCAGTTAGAAGTATAAGAAGCCCTAGACTTCTAATTGGAATCTGAAGTGGGGGGCAGTCTTTTGGGACTGAGCCCTTAACCTATGGAGTCTGTGCTAACTCTAGGTGGTTAATGTCAGAATTGAATTGTTAGACACCCAATTGGTGTCAGAGAACTAGAAAATTAACTGATGTGAGGGGGAAAACCCACACATTTGGTGTGCGTAAAAAACCGCTCTCATCCGGAAGAACTGAATCACTGATGCTGGATCAATTCCTATTCAAATGCAGAAAAATGTCATTGGGTCCTTATCTGACACATGCATATTGAAGGCAGAGCTTTAAATCTTTTGGAACAAAACAGGAGAACATCTTTTTAATCCAGGATGAAAAGATTTCTTATATAAAAAACATTAACCATAAAATATTAATAAATTACATTGTATTAAAATGAAAACTTTCTATTAAAAATACACTATAAAATTATGTAGGAAATCTACAGTTTATAAAAATATTTAACTATAAATCAGAAAAAGATACAAAAGGGGCAGTCAGACATCCCTCAAAGGGTCCCACATTGGAGAGAGTGCAGGCTGGGCTGAGGGACCCCCGACCCCCATGTACGAATTTTGTGCACTGGGCTTCTAGTATTTAATAACAGTGAAAATACGCCATACTTGCTGGCAACAACATAGATAAATTTTAGAGACGTAACATTGCATGAAAATAGTAAGCTCCATAAGACTGATATAAATAGTAAGCTCCATAAGACTGAAGAATGATATCATTTTTATAAGTCTCCCAAATAAACATTAACAATATATTATTTAGGCATATTTTTATACAGTGCAAAAAATTTAAGTAAGAGGATGATAAACTGTATTTAGTCTGGTAGTTAATTTTGGAGAGAGAAGGAAGAAGGTGTAAGTAGATCCAAATATTGATCATGTTTTGGGGCTGCAGAATTATTTCACAGAAGTTTGTGGTGCTATGAAGAACATGAAATAATTTATATATGTCCTTTTACATAAATATCAAATATAGTTTCAAAAAGAAATCTTTACATCTTTACATTAAAACAATCTTAAAAATGAAACTCCTACCTTCAACTATGCTGGACTTAGCAAGAAATCCTGAAGATGATTTTAGAGCTCCATTGAATACTACAAAACTTGCACCTGTCACTGATTAAAAAAAAACACACAACAATTATATTTTAACCTGTTATATTTAAATGTTATATGACATTTGTTAAATATATAATGTGGAGCATGGCACATTTTAAGTACCTGATAAATGTCATGCCCACACCACTTAAGTTAGAAAGCTAATAAATAAATAAATAAATAAATAAGATAAATATTGCATACAAGTAAGTTAATGGTTGTATCTAATAATTGATGGGCAGTTGTATTAATTAAAGTTTTGTGTTGCCCTAGCTGGTTTGGCTCAGGAGATAGAGCATTGGCCTGTGGACTGAAAGGTTCTGGGTTAAATTCCCAGTCAGGGCACATACCCAGGTTTCATGTTTGATCCCCTTTAGGGGTCATGTAGGGGGCAGCTGATCAATGATTCTCTCTCATCAGTGATATTTCTATCTACTGCTCCTTCTCCTTTCCTCTCTGAAATCAATAAAAATATATATTAAAATATAAACAAACAAACAAACAAATAAATAAATAAAAAGTGTCTGTCAGGGAGAGTGTGAGAACTTGAACATCCACTATTGGTGAGAGCATAAATCAACAACTTGATGATTATCTCCTAAAATTACAAATACATGTATTCTTTTATACACCAATTCCATTTTCAGAAATTAATGGTATGGATACAATGTTATGCACAGAATTTATATAATAAAAGGCTAATATGCAAATCGACCAAATGGTGGCATGAGTGGTTGCTATGACACACTGACAACCAGGAGGCAGACACACAACCCAGGAGTTGCCCCCTAGTGGTCAGTGCGCTCCCACAGGGGTAGCGCCACTCAGCCAGAACTCGCAGCAGTGGATTGGAGCCTTTCCCGCTTCCACGGCAGCGCTAAGAATGTCCGACTACCGGCTTAGGTCCACTACCTGCGGGGAACAGCATAAGCTGGCAGTCAGACATCCCCTGAGGGCCCCTGGACTGCAAGAGGACAAAAGCAGGGCTGAAAACCGACCCCCCAAGTCCCTGAGAGCATGAATTTCATGCACTGGGCCTCTATTATTTTATGAATAGCCAAGGACTAGTAAAAGTTATCTCCACCAATATAAAGGATAATTAAATGAAGTACACATATACTAGTAAAGTGAAAAGTTATGTAGAATGTGAAAATTCTTTATATACTAACATAGAATAATGTCCAAAGTATGTTAACAAAAGAAAAAGCAAGGTGTAGCCTGGAACAAATAGCTTATTTAACAAATGTCTCAGAAAAGATGTACATACTGAAACTGAAAATACTGGTTTGGTTGCCCATGGGGAGGAGCAGAGGGTAGCCTGAGGGTCAAGGAAGAAAGAGACTTTGTACTATAAATATTTATATATTTTGAACTTATACCACTTAAATATAGTATACCTATTCAATAAATATAAAATAGTTGTTAAATTTTAATGTAAAAAATATCAGTGACATGTTCAGTGAAAAAAAACACAATACAAAAATATAAATATCCAGTATTATATCTTCTATTTAATAGATATTAATATAAAAAGGAAATACAGTAAAAATATCAACAATGGCTATATATTGGTACTTTTTTCTTTTACTACTTTTTTCTTTTTTTGCTACTTTTAAAAACATATTTTCCAAGCTTATTACAAATTAGTACAAATTACTTTTATAACAGAAGAAAAAACTATATTAGCTGACAGATGTTAGAATATTTTAAATTAGTTATTTTATTATAATTGTTATTTTTATGGAATACGTACTTCCACATAACTTTCCATTGGTCAGGCTCTCTGCTGCACGGGTGTGGTAATCTAGCAGTCACTGAGGTCATTCAACCAGAACTGAGAGTATGTCACTCAGACCTGCTATGTACCATATTTATCATTTTTATATCCCTAACCACTTCAGTTTTATAAATTATTCTACATTCTTATCTATCCTGTGCTCTCCTTAATTAAGAGAGTTGGAGCAAAACACATGTGAAGGTGAAAAAACCTCATTCAAGAGACAAATAACTGGAGGAGGAGGTAGAGGGGGAACGGGACACTCCCACCATATGGGACATACTAAGCCTGACTATCTGTACAGTGTTCTTTAAACCTAAATGTAGCCTAAAAGAAAAACACAAATCAGAAGCAATTTTAAAATATTTTTGTGTATTGCCTTGTAGGAGTAGCTCAATTGTTGAGCATCAGCCTATGAACCAGAAGGCCATGGTTCAGTTCAGAGCACATGCAGGCTCAATCCCCAGCAGGGGGCATGCAGGAGGCAGCTGATCAATGCTTCCCTCTCATCATTGATGTTGCTCTCTCTTCTCTCTCCTTCTCCCTTTCTTTCTGAATTCAATATAATCTCACACACACACATAAAATTTTAAAGCATGTTTTATCACTGTCAATTCAGCAAACATGTAATATATATATATATATATATATATCCCCTTTGAAAATAGTTCTATTTATTGAGGTGCTTTAATGGATCAACACTAGGAACCAACACTCACCTTTTCTAGGGTGGCCAGTGGCACTGTTGGCCTGTGTCTGATAAACTCCATTATTCTGTACACAGACTAGATGAGAATCTGCTTCTGTACTAAAACTAGCTCCAATGCTAATGACATGCTCATTAGAAGAATTTATCACTTTCATTACCTTTGGGGGAAAAATAACACTTATTTAGAAACACTTCTACTATTTCATGCCTTTATTAGTTACACTAATTCAAAGAGTCACCTTTTGACCAGCTTCATAAATCTCAAACCTTGGTCTAGAAAACCATCAAGAATGTGATAGAAACAAATGTATTAAGATAAAATCACCTCAATGCATAAAACAGTAAAAATAAAAAATAAAAAAAGATGAAAGAATAGAATTAAATGCCTTGTTAGGAAGCAAATCTAAAACTTCAAAAATAATATTGTATATTTTGCCATTATATATTAGGTAGTCTGATTCAAAGCAAACAAATTTAATTGACAAACTTCTAAGGAAATCTAATGTTCAATAATTACCTTCAAAATTTTAATTAAGCAATTATACTTACATCATTGTATTTTTTCCGAGGTATTTTTATGCAGCTCTTCCCCATTTCCATGTGAATCAATAGCTGATCTATATTATGCAAGGTATACTGGAAATTTCGAAGGTCCTATATAAAATAATATTTCCATTAACCTTAAACTACTATTCATGCACATTTAACCATTCATTAAATCCATTAAAATTATCCACCATTTTAAGACTTGTGATACATAACTAAAACTGCCATCTAAAAACTAGTACTAACTTACAAAACCAACTAATCCAGTTACTATCTGGAGTAGTAAACAATATCATTCCCAGGAAGAATTCTATAGTATTTGGGAGTGATCTCCTCTTTCTATTTAAAGATTGTTCAAATAGGTCTTCAAACAATATTATAAATAAAAGTAATTCCACTAAAATACTTTTCTCTGGTAACAGGAAACACAAAATTCTAGAAATCTGAGGTGGGAGGGAACCTGAGATATGATCTATTCCAATCCTTCCTAAAGCAAATGAGGAAACATAAGCCACACTTTGCTCACAGTCACCAAACTTACTAACTTTACAGACACTTTTACATCTTCAAAAGCTTCAACATCAGTGTAGATCTCACTTTATTTAAATATGTAAGCACCCCAGCAGAATGAATTGAAAGGCAATTACAATCAGGTACCTATAAATTAGATGTGCTCTAAAAAAGGAATTCATTAGAAACAGCCCATTTGTATTAAATGAACAAGGATATATTTATAAGTAAACTTTTATTATACCAAATTAAAATAGGAAAACATATTTTACTAAATGTTGATCCATTCAGTAAAATTTACTAAACACATTTTTAAAGTAACAACATAAGAACACTTTATAAAATAGTTCAATTACTCACAACAAGTAAGTTCATTATAGTGTGTCCTATCTCTCCAAAAAGAGGTTTTCGGCCTCTGATACTTGTTAGAGGAGCAGGATATGCTATACATAAGAAAGAAAAACTGGTTACTGCCCCCAAAGCCCACACAAACAAACACAAGAGTCTTGAATGTGCTACCTTTATTAATTTTTACTTTTTAAACAGTATGAATAAATTACCCTCAATCACTTCTTTGAAGAAAATTAACCATACTGAGTACTAATCAGGTGCTGCATTGAACTAGGAACTCTGTATACATTATCTTATTTATAAACTCCACAACAACCTGATGAGGCAAATATATCTACCCCTACTTTACAAATGGGAAAGTAGGTCCCTAAATTAATGTAACATAGATTTGAAATTTGGTTTGCCTGATTCCAAAGCATTTAATCTTTTCACTATATGTTTCCACAAATTCTGATGGTTGGAAAATTACAGTAATTGGTTAGAGCCCCCTATCAAATTCTGAATTTAAAGAAAAATAAGAAGAATTAAATATTTTAATGGCTTGTAAAACTAATATTCAACTGTGCTAATTTTTTAAAAAAATGTACTTTATTGATTTTTTACAGAAAGGGAGAGGGATAGAGAGCTAGAAACATCAATGAAAGAGAAACATTGACCAGCTGCCTCCTGCACACTCCCCAACGGGGATGTGCCTGCAACCAAGGTACATGCCCTTGACCGGAATTGAACCTAGGACCCTTCAGTCCACAGATGGACACTCCATCCACTGAGCCAAACTGGTTTCAGCTCAACTGTATTAATTTAGAGATTTATATAATAAATTTTTATAGTTCCTGGGTCAGCATGATAAAAGGAGCACACAGTTAGAGAAATCAACAGAGGTAATTTTATTTAAAACCTTTAAAAGGTTTTGACTTAGAATGGCATCCTGTCAGTTTCAAAGGGACCTCACAAATGATCTAATCCAACATTTAATGATATTTTAACCAAATGATCTCAACATAAAAGCATAGAGAATTCTCATTTGAAAATTACTAATTTCAGCCGGCACCGGTTTGGCTCAGTGGATAGAGCATTGGCCTGCAGACTGAAAGGTCCCGGGTTCGATTCCGGTCAAGGGCATGTACCTTGGTTGTGGGCACATCCCCAATAGGAGTGTGCAAGAGGCAGCTGGTCGATGACTCTCTCTCATAGATGTTTCTAACTCTGATCCCTCTCTCTTCCTCTCTGTGAAAAATCAATAAAATATATTTAAAAAAAAAAAGAAAATTACTAATTTCAGACAGTTATTTTCAGTTTTTAATCATGGGACTCAACTTCTGTCATTAATTTTTACATATGTACATTATCTCTATTGTAGAGAGCGCCTGGGAAGGCACATTGGCATTTCTTTAATTATTGTCAGCTGAATCCAGTGGCATTGGAAAAGTCATGTCCTGGAAACAAACTTTGCCAGAGGTAGGCCTGTTGTCAGCTGACCTTCCGAGCAGGTGCCAGCAGGTGGGTTTTGTTATTTAAATCCAACCAAGCACCAGGAATGCACATAATCTCCTTTTTCTTAACTTTTAGTAAAACTTCCTGTTTTTTGCTGTATAAAATAAACACATTATATTGGCTTGGGGTCACTGTTCCTATCCCTGTCCTTGTCAGAAGACAATGGTCCCACCTGGCCCCAGCTTTTCCCTTCTCTTTCTTTCCTTTTCTCAATCCCCAGCCACCCCTACTCAGGAACTGGACCGCTTTCTAGCCACGCTGGACATGGAAAAGAAGAGAAATATTTACACTCTATAACAATATAAACACACACACACTATACTACACTTCCAAGTTCATTCCTAAAGAGGCATGGGCACCAATAACACCACAATGCTAGTCTATCCAAAACCCAGCAGAACATGAAGAATTCCGAAAAAATAGCTGAGACTAGTTAACTTCTATGTATAACTGCTGATATGCCCTCATATCATGCACTACTCAATAGCTACCACAGCTTTGCAGCTCGGATCCCTGTGTATCTTTTGAGAAGTATCTCATTTGCCCCATGACTTTCCTTTCAGTGGGTGAAAACAGACTTGGTTGGTATCTAGAAGTGATACAGGCCAAACTTACAGATTATAGTTACATACTACTTGAAATTAGCCAGTACAAGTATATTGATCTAACCTTCCATAAAAATAGTATTCAAGTATTAATATCAGAGACAATATTAGGTTGAATGGATGTAACACTTGGCTCAGAATGAAAATTTTTAAGTTCTTCGGTTTACACAGCACAAAACCTGAGATAAAAGTTAAATTTTGTTACTTTTAATACAATTTAATAGCATCACATACTTAAATCCTAAATGAAAGGACCTCCTCCCCAAAAATCACAGTTTAATAAAATTTGCCAAATAGAGGAATTTAGCGAATCTCTTTCTCACTGAATTTGTCCATTTTGAAATAGTAAAGGTCACTTTATAATCTGCCTACATTTAATTTTCCTCCAAAAAGATCTATTAAATTATATTAGAATGAAATATATAAAATCTTATGAGCTGTCCTTCACTTGCAATAAATAGACTATTTCTTTAAAAAAAAAAAAAAAAAAAAAAAAAAAGGAGAAAGAGCCCTGGCCAGTGTGGCTCAGTTGGTTGGACTGTTATCCTATGCACCAAAAGTTCTCAGGTTTGATTCTGGGTCAGAGAACATACTTAGGTTGTAGGTTCGCTCCTCAGTCAGAAACAACCAATCGATGTTTCTCTCTCAGATCTATCTTCCTTCCTTTGCTCCATTCCTTCTTCCTTCCTTGCCCCTTCCCCCCCCCTCTCAAAAAAAAAAAAATATATATATATATATATATATATATTTGAGTTTAATGCTAGAAATAATTTCAACTTAGATATAACTATATATAAACCTCTTTAGAATCTCCAATTGTATTAAGGATAGATATGTAAAGATACACACAAACTCACACTCAAATATAAACATATACATATACTAGTATTATACTTAAATGATATAGTCTACATCACTTTTAGATAACAAGCTAAATGTTAGAAATATAAAAATAAGAAAAAGGAACCTCATGATTAACAAAGATGGGAGCCACTATTTTTAAGTATTTCCTTCTCTAATAGTCAACTCTTGATTATAGTCAGTAACTGAAAGCAGTAGCACTGATAATCCAAAAATCCTTTAAGTTTGACTCCCTATGTATACAAATTGATGGGGGCAATAATTTGTCTTCTTAACATGTAAGCAACATAAAATGAACTCTCTACAGTACATGCTTTTCAGAAAACTTCAAGTTTTTGTGGGTTTGTTCTAAAATTTAAAAAAAATATTTTAAGGTAAGTTTATATAATAATTATGACCATCTAGAAACTTCATTATATATCAAGGTTTTGTAGACTAATTTGGAAGTAGAGGAAGGTTGTTTTGGAATTTTAAAAGTACAGTGAAACAGAAATGGTTCCATTAATCCATTAAAAATTTGATTTTAATGATACTCCTGAATTCTTATTTTAATCTATTTAAACCCATGAAATTTAACTTCATATTCTAAAACTTACCTTTATATTCTGCACCCAATCTCAGCATTAAACGCATAGGGAAAACCTTTGCCCAGGGAATCTCTAGCTTCTGGATAAGAATTCCACAAAGAAAAGGATTACTTGGTAAGGGGAGATCATCAAGTTTCTGAAAAGTGGGTGTAATAAATAGGAATCCTCCATGGTCCTTGCTACCGAGAAAACTCTCAGTAAAGGTAATATTGTCCAAGTTTTCTATGTATTTTCCTGGAAATAAAATCATTTTTAAAAGATTTTTAGTTGTTTAAAAAAGCTTTCTGAGTTTGACTGTCCCCATATAAACTTGCTTATATAAAGGCAATGTAGAATTTTTTTTTATTTCCACTCTAGAACAAGCATCTATTCAATACTTTGTGTGCACAAAGGTCAAGTTATTCCTGGAGATAGGAATAACCATAAGCTATTTAAAAATCTTTCTCCTTACTGCATGGTCAAGTAAATAAAAATAAAAATTAAAATATCTCCCCAATCTTATACAAACAGAAAGAAAAACATATAGACACATAAAAAAGAAAGAAGGTAATAAATAAATAAAAGAAGGCAAATATATTTTACTTATTTTTTAAAAATCTATGTAAAGACACTAATCAGATAAAATGCTAGATTTAAGGAGACTGAAAATGATTATTAAGACCTAAAAAAGCAATAATCTCTTCACAAAATAAATCTTTAGTACAGTTAGCATAACCAAAAGCATAAATGCCTTTAATTAATTTGTCTATCCCCTAATCTAAGAACTTGTATGCATGCGAATAAGCATAACCAATAGACACAGACACCAGGGAGATGAGGGCATGTGCTGGGGAGAGGGAGAGGCCAGGGCGAGGTCAATGGGGGAAAAAGGAGACATGTGTACTACTATTTGTAATACTTTAAACAAAAATAAATTAAATGAAAACAAAAATAAACAGTTCAAAATAAAAAGCTATACCTTTTAGAGCATCCTTATATATGGAGATAAATAGTCTGAAGATGTCCTTAGGGATAGTATCTTCATTTGGCAAACATAACAATAGAATAATAATTTCTGCCTGTCCCAAGCCATGCAATCCATTGGTTGAGAAGTACCAATATTTGTCTGAGGAATCTTAAGTGATAAATGATACAACTATCAATTTCCACTTCTATTAACCAAAAAACTAAATATAATTGTCTTTTGCATGAAGCATAATTTTTAAATTCCTTATTTTTCCAAAGTTCTCACAAAAACTTTGAATTGCATAAGATTAATGTAGAAAAGAGAAAAATTATCTGATGGATAACACTAAAATAAAAGATGCACTAATATGATTATAAGAGAATGAAAAGCTGAGAATTCAGGAGAGATGCATTTTTGAGAACTGAGGATTATTTATTACTGAAGATTATTTATTTTCTTACTTTTAATTAGATCACAAGTTGTTGACTTTAAACTGTCTTTATTGCTACTAAATCAGGATTCTTGCTTACCTCAATTACCAGATTTCAATTTCGCTAAAAGCTAAATGAATGAAATGTATTTAATTGTATCATGAACATCAAAATACAGCTCAGCTATAAGTCTATAACCTTAAAATAGGACTTAATGAGGGACACTAGTAAAAATCTGTAAGCTTGTATTTCAAGTCCCACTGAATATAAACTTGCAAAATTTATTTATATTCATATTTGGCTAAAAACCCCAATATCCAGTGCTGCTTATTTTTCATGATTGCCAGTCTATATCAAACCTGAAGATGTAATTCAGAAATCCTGCTTACCAATTAGGCAAAGAAAGATGAATCATTACTTACAAAATACTAACTTGACATTCACAAGTAGATTAGCATTTAGGACAAATGTAACAGGGTGAAAAGCTTTGTCTTCAAGAAGCAAAATGATCTGCTCATGAGATGGGTGTTCTTCCACTACAGGCACTAAATCATGAAAATGACATATAATTAGAATAAATATGACATCCTGTAAAATATGCTTGCAGTAAAAAAACAACAATAGGTTTATAAAGCTACCAAAGGCTTGAGCAAATTAAAACAAAAGCAAACATGTTCCACAACGTCAATTAATATCCTGGACAACTGTTATATACTTATTTTTACTTTGCTATATATGTAAAGAATTAATACTATAATACATATAAATCCTGATATATTGTATATACACAAAAATGTTGATTAAGCAGCGTATTTATATAATTTTAGCACCTTTAAAATTTTTAAACAAATATTTTTGTAAAGTGGATTCTAGTCTGCCAGCCACTCCAATTATAAATTATGAAACTTACCCTGATACAATGCTGGGAAATTTATCTAGACCCAAGTTGTACAAACTGCTTGCTGACATATGGCCTATGCCAGCAACAAGTGGCAAAAAAAAAAATTTTTTTTTAAATAAAAATCTTGACCATCAAAAGGAAAATGTCCATGGCCTGCAAAGAACAGGACTTGAAAGTATTCTTAGCACTATAGCCAAATTTATGAAGTAGCACCTACTGACGTAAAGAGGTCTAAGCTCCATTCCCCTACATTGCCATGCAAGAGCATAATTACTTCAAGTTGCAGGATGCAGCATAATGCAAGCATCCTAGGTAACTATTATGAGATAGGAGCTAACCACAGGATCTCTAGTTTGGAAAGAACCTTATAGATCTAGGTTCTCTTCTTTTAAAAACAAACTGAGGCCCAAAAAGATTATATAACATGCTTCAAGGCACATACATATAAGTAGCCGATGACAAACTAAAATTCCTAGCTTTGTCATCTAATCCAATACTCTTTTCTTTAGGCACCACTCTCCTTTAAAAAAAAAAAAAAAAGTGATATGTAATCAAACTCTAATACAATGGAAATATTTTCAGAGCTAAAAGTCTATGAGTCTCCTATTGTATTGGCCTTTTGTCTCACTCAATATAAGTTGGATATTATAAATGAATCATCTTCATCTCAAAAGTTCAAATCTTTTTAGAATTTGTTTTTATATATAATAAGATTTTTTGTAAACTAAAGTTAACAAGTCATAATACATGTTTCAAATCGTCCAATTTAAAAAAAAAAATGCATTTCATACAACACAGACAAAATTCATCAGTACATTCTTTAAAAAACAAATAAACAAACAAACAAACAAACAAAAACTTTTAAATTTAAATAACTGCTATTCCTACCTAATTCCTTTTCTTCAGATGTAACCAGAAGAGGGGGCAAGCTGTCCTCATCACTAGGTAGAAGACTAATCTTATTGCCCACATTCTTGTCAATACCACATAGTAACCTATAATCTGAAGTATTAGTAACAGGTAAATTGCTGTTCACTAAAACACCAGCTGTTGGACTAGATGGTTCTTCAGTTCCTGCAAAAACATCATCATCTAGTGTAAAAGATCCAGAAGTAGGTAACCCCTCAGTTTCTGTGCTTATGGGCAGTTTTTCCACAGATGAAACCTCAGAAATAGGACTCTGAATTATCTCATTTCTTGTAATATCTCCTATTTCATTGTTTGGTTTTTCCAATGTAGCAGAATAGGCGTGATCCACTGTGTTTACCGTCTGTAAAGAATGTAATAAAAAAATCAGTTTATAGCCTCTGTTCAACTGTGAAATGTTCATCTCTATATCCAAACATACCATTTTAATAAGAATAAATAAAACCGAAATGGGCTCAGAAATTCTTCAGAAGCCAAATTTCCTGATATAATTTTAGCACCTTTAAAATTTTTAAACAAATATTTTTGTAAAGTGGATTCTAGTCTGCCAGCCACTCCAATTATAAGTCCTGAAACTTACCCTGATACAATTCTATATCAGTACCATTTGGCTTCTTCAAATTCAGGAGCATAAAGTTTAGCTTTACTGTATGCTCAGGTAGGTACTAATGATTTTAATTTTAGAGATTAGAAAAAGGAAGCAAGGAGGACTTCAGGATCTTAAACCATATCACACAGTGAGCAACTCAGTTTAACCCATGGTCTCCTCATGACAGCCAAAATACCTTGGATAAGCAAGTGAGAGGAAAAGGGGAAAAGACAGAGCGGGGAGTGGTTAGGCAACAGAATGGTAAATATAGTCCACAATAGTAACCACCAGTAATTACTACGTCTCAAATATGTTTTAAAAAGCCCTTTCTTTTAGACTGGCCAAACCTGAATCAATATTAAATGATACCTCTTATGAATTCCAACAATACTTTTCTAACCTATTTAGAACTTTCATTTTGTTAAAATATTGATTAGGGCAGGTGCTAGCTCAGAAACACTTTTGGTAATAATGGCTACTTGTAAAATATAACTCCCGAACTCTTACTGACAAACAGCATTTGGTATGTGAACTTGAACAGAGCATGATACATATCCATCTTGTCCAATGTATATATCTGAAATAAACCAGGTAACTGGCACAGAGTAAATACTCAATACATATTTGTTTAATGAATAAAATATTCCTACTTTGTGTATTAATATTTGCTTCTATGAGCATTTTGCTACTTTACAATGAGAATTCTTAGTGGAGTAGTAGTCTATATTATTTTTCTTCTTCTTAACATCTAATACATTTGTGTAAATGCAAACATAAATACACCACCACATACTTTACTAAGTCCTTGAAAATCATTAAACAAATACTAGCCTAAATCTCAGTTCTATTTCCCTATAGCAGTGTTTCTTAAAGTATGGTCCAAGGATTCCTTGTGGGTCCCAAGACCCTTTCAGGGAATCAGTGAGGTCCTAGGATTTTCTTCAAATAATTTCACCAAAACAACATATCACAACAGACTGAATATACATGCAATTATGAGAATTTTTTTCCTACTAAGTCAGACATTAAACTGAAATGTAAAATAATGTTATCCCTGCCCAGCTGGCATGTCTCAGTGGTTGAGTGACCTATGAACCAGGTGGTGAAGGTTTGATTCCCGGTCGCCTGATCCCCAGTGTGGTGCATGCAGAAGGCAGCTGATCAATGATTCTCTCATCATTGATGTTTCTCTCTCTCTCTCCCATCCTTTCTGAAATCAATAAAAATTATTAAAAATAATAAGATACTATCCCCGATTAAACTTTTGTTTTGAATTTTTTCTCATAATAGTATTTCTATTAATATTAGTTTATTTTTAAAAATATTTTTTTATTGAGTTTAGAGAGGAAGGGAGAGGGAGAGAAAGATAGAAATATCAATGATGAGAGGGAAACATTGATTGTCTGCCTCTTCCATGCCCTTCTGGGATCCAGCCCGCAACCCAGTCAAGTGCCCTTCGCTGGAATTGAACCTGGGACCCTTCAGTCTGCTGGCCAACACTTTATCTACTGAGCCAAACCAGCTAGGGCAATATTAGTTTATCTTAATTAATGAATTTTAAATTTTCTCAGTTTTAATATTGCTATAGTAATTATCAATAGTATAACCCACAAAACTTATAGCTTTTTTATTTTGTTTAAGGTATTATAGTAATATTAAAATTGAGAAGTTTTACTGGTGGGCCTGGGAAGCCCACGGGAGGAACCAGGTCACTACTCCCCCAATCGGTTAAGGCCCACCTTCAATTAAGACAAAGGGAGGAGATGTTGGGAGCTAGCAGAGTTGAGGCAAGCAACTCAGTCTTAAGGAAATAGAATTAAGTTCCTTCTAGCAGAGGTTGTGTGGTGCCCTGAGGGCTTGGCCAGAAGATAAGATTAACCTGGGGTTTAGCATCTGTCTTCCTGCCTCTTTCCCTTCCTGATCCTCCCCCCTAGATAGCCCAGCCTTGGAATATTGCACCTTGGAATGTCACACCGCCTCTGGCAATTAGTCAATCCTGTGTTGCCATACCAAAGACCCCCCTGCATGGGCGGCCCTGCCCCCCTTTGTCTCTGCTGTATAAATACAGCCATTTCAGAGAATAAAACTGAGGCTTGATCAGAAAATAAAATAAAATAAAATAAAATAAAATAAAATTGAGAAGTTTTAAAATTCATTAGCTAAAATAAACTAATGTTAATAGAAATACTTTAGTAGAAAAAACTTATTGCTCTTTTGAATTCTCAATAACTTTTAAGAGCACAAAATGGCATTGAGACCAAAAGTTTGACAATGAAAAGATAAAACCTAAAATATATTCTCTATATCATATATCTCTCATTTTAGGAAGCTCATAATGTTCAAAAAACACACTCTAATAATCACATAAGGAATTATCTACAAAATAAAATTTTATTAAATTAACAAGTCATTCTTTAGATTCCTTACCAAGGGCAGGTCTGGTAAGAGAGGACTTAAGTCTTCAGAACATCTTTTACTTCCAGATGATAATTTCGCTGTATCTGCAACTTCACCATTGGGCAATATACCATCTGCAAACCATACTCTCTTCTGTTCTTTGGAACATAATCCTAGATACAGTTTCAAAAATAAAACATTTTTACTTGGCAATATTGCAATGCTTTAATATAAAAATGGGTCAGAAAATGTTTTCAAAAGCTTTTGCTACTTATTATCAAGCCTAGAGAAATGGTCTTATGTGCAGCTAACCACAGTGGAAGTCTTTTTCTAATTCATACTAAGGCAGGATGAGCCTGGGAAGCACGCACTCAGAAAAGGAGTGGACAGGAGAGGTTATTTCTTAAAGACAAAGGAGGCAGATTTAAAGCCTATATTATTAAAACTAATTTGTAAGTATGGAGACTGAATATAATTTATGGACTAAGGCGCAAGAAAGAAAAATAGACTATACCAGATAAGGAAAGAAAAACATTTGGAAAACAGAAAGAAGCATAAAAATTTTAAAAATGAAACAGGAACACTTGTACGTAAGAGGTCATTTCTTTTTATTTATTTGATGAGAGAAGCATAATATATTTTATTCTTATAGATATTAAACTTTATTAATATTTATTAACATTTTCATCTCGTATTTGGAGGAAATAACTAGATATCAGCATAAATGTTTATTTTGTTATAAAGCATCTACAAAAGAAGGTTATGAAAATTTTTGCCAGATGACTTTGAAACATATGAAGATTAAAAGGATTCATATGTCTAGTTTCCAAAATACAATCCAGAGTAACAATGAAAAAACTAGAATCATATATAATTTTTGCATTATGAGTATACAAATTAAATTAGGTATCTTTCTTATATTTGCAATACTTTTATAGTTTAATAATTCAGGATGTCAATATAAGAAAATATATAAATATCTCTAAAAACAAATTTATTCAGCTTTAAAACTATAATATGTAAGCATACATTTGTTCAGATGGAAAAAGATACATTGGATATGATTATTACAATAGCTTTATTAACTCTGTTTCATGCACTTACAACTGTAAACCTACTTTTGCCCACTACTATATATGCTGAATCTCATTTAAGTTATAATAACTAAAACATAGCTATTAAGTGAGAAAGAAACTAAAGTACAAAATAATTGTCACAAGTATCTGAATTTGCCTTAAACTGAGAGTTAAAATCACTTTATAGCATGCAACAGACTAATAGTTGATGTTTAAAATGTGGATGGACTTGACTCAAGATCCTAACCTACAACAGGTTGTAAAAAAGAACAGAGTCCAAAGATTTAAAAACCATTTTTATTCTGGTAAAACACACATTTAAAAACAGATTTTTAAGGAAGCGGAAGTATGCCAGGTTTTTACCTATTGTTTCTCAAACCTACCTTCTCCACCTAGCTCTCTGATGTCATGCAAAGTCTGCAAAGTTCAACTCCCAGACCCTCTTGCTAGCTGGGCCTAGTTACTAATGGTAGGCACAGGTAGGAGATTAGAAGGTGAGAAGAGAAGGAATTCTTTCCTTTGAGTTCCTGCCAAGATTCTTGAAGTAGCAGCACCCCCAGATATAGCTACATGCCCCAGGATTTTCAGTACTCCTTTACTTCAACCCCAGAACACTCCTTCAGTCATCTGAGCACAAAGCTCATTAGTCTCCTTGTTCCCTCTGCCCTAGCATTGGTGGTTGTTTCCTGCTGTTACTAATCCCTGAGTCACTTGAGCATAATAGCTTTTTTGCTCTTTGTATAACCAGTTTCCTGTATTAAATTCCTTCTGCTATCTAGTCTGGCTTCTCTTGCCTCACTAGACCTTGCAACACTAGAAATTTTCTATTTTAATAATTTATCTTTAGTCTAAGACACAGGATTTTTTTCTAGTTACCTTCAACACTTGGATGTTTAAGGGCTGAGATTGGTAAGGTTGTAGGTGAAGAAGGTACACTTGATGTCTGGGTCTCCTGCAGAGGCTGGATGGTGGCACATTCATCAGAATGATTAGATTTAAGATTAGAACCAGTTGGGCTCATCATCCTTTCAAATGCCTGAGCTATAACGGGGAGAAAACAACATTAAAATCTCAGATTTTTTAAAATTTCAAAGTAAATATGACAAGTATTCTATTTTTCAAGTGGTAAGAAGTAAAAAATCAATGGCTTAGCAAGAAAAAGAAGTAGCACTTGACAAAGATCATGTCCTTCCTTTGGTTGGCAGCACTCCACACCTCAGTATAAGCTACCAATTACTTATTTTAATATACTTAGCTTATGTTTGATATCTATTAAAGAAAATTATTATTTAATATGACTATTTTTGCCTTTTATCCTTAGAGTCTATTTCTAATGTAGTAAGTGTGATTCTTTTAAGACATAGATCATATATCATTTACTCTGTTTAAAATTCTTTAATGATTTCCCAACCCTTGGAGTGAATAATTTAAGTTTCACAATGGCTCACAAGACCCTACACAGCCTACATCCTGACCTCCTCTGCCTTCTGTAACTGTCTGACCTCATCTCTCACTACAATTCCACTTGCTCATTATGATCCAGCCCCCTAGGCCTCCTTGATTTTCAATAAATCAAAAAGCACTCTTCTAGCTTAGGGTCTTTGCTTTTATTGTTCTCTCTGCCTTAGAATGTTCTTCCCATAGATATTCACTAGCTTTATTCTCTTCCTCAAATCTCTGCTCACATGTCATTATCATAAAACCTTACTCTGACCACCTTATAAAAAAAAATACAGCTGCTTGCCTCCAATCTGTTACTATCTATCCCTCTTACATTCTTTTATTTTCATTTAGGATATTATCATCATCTGATATTCTCCTTGCCTACTGTCCGTCCGCTTTTCCCAAATTAGTAAACTCTATGAGAACAGGGAGTCTATTTGTTCTCAGCTAGTGTGCCAGAATATAGAATGGCACCTGACTATTGCTGAATGATTTTTCACCTGAATAACATAGAACAGAACTGGTAGCTCTCTCGTCAGCATATCTCCAAACTGACCTGCTATAAATGCTGCCACTACTAAAATTGCCTTCCTTAAGTGACAGTAAGTAACAACATTCTTATGAAATGGCTCCACTAACCAACTGAAATCCAAACATCTTACTCTGAGTTTCAAAATAATTTCCACCTAATGGCACTCACACACATGCTGCCTTGAAACTTAACAATCTCAGCACAAATTCCTCAATGTCCATCTCTCTATTCAAATTATTTTTCTTATAACACTTCATGAAATGTGTCTCACAACCCGTGAGCCATCGTTCTCCTCTTATTTAATAACATTATCTTAAATGATCATTTCTACCATTCAATGCTAAAGGTGATATAAAAACAAATTATTATGCTTTCTTGTGGTATATTAGTAATGATAAAGAGAACCATAAATGAAATTACATGCTATAAGATATTGAAACAGAATAAATAAAAGATAGCTAAGTAAACAAATTGTTTTCAAAAGAATTTCTTTGATAAACCAATGTTTGAGCTCAGTAACATAATGAGAATCTTTAATAACTCTTGATCTTCTCCCCTTCTGGATTCTTATAGTCAGAAAATGTACTAATGTCCACCTAAGAATCTGACCTATCTATTCAAATGTTTCAAATCTTCCTGGCTAACAGCAGGAGCAGTTGCGTTCAAGGCTATTGAAGCAGTGTAAGAAAAAAACAGAATAACTATAAGCACTTAAGCTAACCTCCTCATAAACAATGGTGATAATATAGAAATGTAAAAAGATTTATACTCTATTATAATCTTCCAGAACACATGTCAACAGCAGGGAGTAAAGCAGCTTACCTCAAGCTAACAGACTCACATCAGAGCTTTTTGGAGAACTGCTGAAAAAATTTGTCTTCATTCAAAAGAGAAAAACAAATTATTATCAGGTATTGACTCTCCTGGCTAACAGGAAGCACTGCCTGAGCTAGTACACAGGCCTGGTATTTAAAAAGTCCCAAGAAATATTTGCTGGGAATTAAACGGTCAACAAATTTTAGAAAATGCCAAGAAATACTCAAAAGAACAAATATGTATTTGAGGAAAAAAACACAAAACACACAACATACACACACAACTGTGAGAATTCAAGACCACAAAGATTATTGCTCAGAATGGTAGCTAGCTAGGGAGCCGGAGAAACAGTAGGAAACACATAAAAACAAAATTCTAAAATTGAGAAGGGGAAAAAAATGAGATAAAAATATACAAATAGTGTGGCAGTCCTATAAATTTATGTATAAGATAGATATCACTATCTTATCTTTTATTCCCATTTTAGGTTGTAAAAAGTAAGAACTATTATCTTGTCTGGTGCTATTCATATATAGGATTAAATATCATCTATTAGTAGGTATACGATAAATGTCTAGATTAAAATGATAATGATGACAATGATGATGGCAAAAACAATAGGCAGATGAAATGCAGCACTTAGGGACTTGGTACCTGTTAAAAGTTAATGAAATGCCACTCCAGAAATTGAATGCTTCCTTTCCAAACTGGTAGCATTAAGTGTGACAGTAGAACAAAAAGAAGAGAAACCAAGCCTTAGGATGTCCCACCTAAGCCAGATAAGTCAACACTAGGTCCTCGCCTTAAGAAAATAAAGAAGTTTATCTGTGTCACAATCCAGTTGTTTTTAAGATATATTCAATTACTCAGAGAAAATGTCAGGCTACTACTCACCTTTGCTAATGGTTTCAAAGCAGACCACACAGACTCTTGCTTCCTTTTCTAGATACTGCAGTTTACACTTCCTATTACAACAAACACCACAAAATACCTATAAAGAATAAAATATCAAATTTTATTCTATTTCATGCATACTTATATGTGGAGGTAGGGGGAGGAGAGGCCCAACATCTAATTAACCAAAAACCATGTTTTAAAAATTATATAACTGTTTGAGTCACTATATTCACTATATTCATATACAGTTATTAAAATACTTTTATCTAGCCCTGGCCAGTATGGCTCAGTAGGTTGTCCTGTACAATAGAAGGTCTCTCTCTGGCTTGATTGCTGGTCAGGGCATATGTCTATGTTGTGGGATCAGTCCCCCTCAGGTCACATACAGGGCAACCAATTGATGTCTCTGTCTCTCTCTGTCCTTCCCTCCTTCTGTCCCTCAACCCCCCCCCCCCGCCCCACCCCTCTAGGCATGTACTCATCTGAGGGGGTTTTTTGTGTGTTTGTTTTTCTTTTAAAAAAGCAATGTTATTTCTATAGCCAACTCTCAGGAGTTTATAGATAATTAAGGCGGCCAGAACACAAATGAGGTCAGCTTCACTGTTCAGAACCTTATGTAAGCCAATTGTTTTCAGTGTTTACCTAACCACAACATTAACTATAGAGTAGTTCTGAAAGTAAGTATTCAAGGATAAATGGAGAACTGGCTGAATTGAGAATATCTGATGTGTTAATGTTAGGTAGATAAAGACAAGTATTCTTAGATTTCACAAAAATTAGTAAATAGTGTTCCTCATTCCCATTGCATAATACCCATGATGAGTTGACTTTTATTCAACTCTCAATCTATAAAATGATAATGCTTTCTATATTTCCATGTAGGTGAAAAATTTTAAATTAATTGAATTTTTAATAATCTATTAATGAGGTTTTCCATCACATAGAATTTCATTTAAAATGTGTCAAAAAGAATAAGACTAGAAGTTTTTGTATAACTTACCTTCCCACATGCCCGGCAGTGGTGTCGCCGTTTTGTGAAGGTAAATTTGACTTGGCAGTTCATACAGTTTGGAGCTTCTGAATCAGGAACCCACGTCGGCTGTTTCTGGCCCAAAACCAAGCCTTCTTTGCAAGTATTTACAGGTAGAGATTCTTCATTTGCAGTTACAAGACTGGATCCACTTTCAAAATTACTTTCTATATCAATGTAATTAGAGTTAAAACTAGCCTGAGGATCAGTTATAGAATTTGTAGTGCAAGTTGTTGGAGCAATGGTTATGCTGGGTTCACTTTCAGGCACAGTTGGAACACCTGTCTTATTTGGTTCTTTTGAACTCCTTGTTCTTGATGAAATGCTAAATTGCTTAGGTCTGGCCCCTCCAACATAAACAGATTGACTGTTAAAATCAGAGACTGACAATTCACTAGTAATTTCAGATTTACTGCTAACTAATGCTTGTTCAATTGGAATTGTACTTTTTTCCCCTAAAGAAAGGCTACTAATTTCTGTTGTATTTTGTTCATCAACTGTTTCATCAGGACTTTCCCCAGTAGCTCCTGCTTCAGCATTGAAGTACATATTACTGACATTTCCATCATCTGGGCTTTTCAAATCTATCTCATTCATTTGAGATTTTGAGTCACTTACAGTTTCTTCAAACGACTTTATGTTCCTTGTCTGAAGATACTGTTCAGTTAGAAAGGCGTCAAGTTCAGCATCACTGACTAGTGTGCCACCTTTTACGCCTTCATCAATATTAAAGTAACCTAGGTCTTGTCCATCAATATCATTGCTTAAAAAAGTGAGACCTTCACAATGACTGGAAGACTCTGGGGCATTTGCACCCAAAAGCTCCATTTGAGATTCTGCTGTAGAAGAATTGGTGTTATTAGAGTAATCCAAAGAGTCAACTCTGATTTCCTTCTGGTCAGGATCTTCCTCTTCATCTCCTATCTTTTCAATTAATGGTTGAGGAAGTATGTTTTTACATTTTTCTTGTTTCAAAAGATCAGTCTCCTTCAATGTTTCCCCATCCAGAATAACACTCTTCTCTATTTCTTCATGCACAGCTACTGGTTCTTGTGTATTATCTTTATGCTCATCCTGATGTAAACAATCACCATGTGTTTTACTTTCAATCAATGATCCACACAAAGACCCAGGTACTGGAAGAGAGGACAATGAGGAATATATATCTTCACTTGAAACATGTAAAGCTGAAGAATCTTGGATTACATCTGTATTATCTTTAAGACCTAAATTTGAGTCTTCTTTTGCAGATTGTTTTATAAATATAGCAGTCCTATCTTCTTGAAAGAAGTCAGGTAATTTGAAACTTTCATCTCTTAAATTCGAATTATTTAAGGATAAACTTTCATTTTTTGGAAGACTGCAAGGCAAAGCTTTTGGGCTGCCTCTTTCTTTTAAACATTCTGTGGCAGCGATGACCGCCACATGTACCTCCTCTTTTACCACACAGCCATCCTCTTTTACTAACTCACATGGCTGGTTCTTGTGTTGTAGGTTGTCTTTGGCGTCAGACATTTTGGAACTTTGTTGAATCAAGGCATATGGCATGTTCAAATCATCAACTGGTTCTAAATGATTAGGGATCTTTATATCCTTTAAATTTTCTTTTCCACTATAATTACATGAATCTGAAAGAGTTGTATCTGTGTTTGTATGCAATTCATTAGTGCCACTGATTTCTCTATTTTGTAATTCAGAGTTGACATAATTTTGTTCTTCTCCAACAGCATTATTACCATGGTCTGTGGATGAAACATAAGGAGTTTCTGACACTGAAGATAAATCCAATCCAATCAAAGAATCTGCACTGGACTTAAAATCATCTGGCAATAATTTTTTAATATATTCTTCATTATTAGTTACATGAACTAAGTTACCCGTGTCACTTATCAGATCACAGACAGGTTTACTACATCGTCCCATATATAAAGGCTGGATTTCATCTGAAGTGCCACCATCCACAGAGGAAAGGAGATCAAGTCCTGTTACGTTTTTCTCATTTTGTATAGAAGTTAGTCCCTCATCTGTTTTTTCGTTCGGTGAAATCTGATTTGTTTCATAGCATGTTTCTGATGAGACACCACAATTAATGCATTGCTGATCCTTTGGTAACAGTGAAGTTAACTGTGAGGAAGCCAACTCTGAAGAAACTGAACAGCGGTTAGAATCATATGCATTTTGTGCATCCTGGAGATAATCTTGTTCATCTAATTAAAATAAAGATACAGTGTTATTCAGGAGACCCAAATAAAAATTATTACAAAGATGTCATGTTTCGAAGACTTCCAAACTAACAACTTTTTTAGAGATAGAGTATTCTTTTGCAAAATAGTAATAACATCCAAAATTATTTTTATTTGGATTTAAAGTACTTGGGGTTTTACTTTTGACTGTCAATATCATAAAGTGATAGAAATTCACTCAAAATAACTCAGTTAAACTATAAAATCAATCTAAAAAATAACTGTAAAAACAATCTACCTTCACTGTTCCACCTTCCAGTTTCCTAGTCTTCATTTATAAGATGTGGAAAATACCATCTCTCATAGTAATGAAATACAAACTTATGTAGAGCTTTCAAGTTACTTTTAGCTGATTCATATGTTGGTTTCAAAGATCCTTCTTTTAGCTAAATTTATATCTGGAGAAAAACTTCTAGTTACCTTACTTTATTTTTGGCTATTCCATTTAGTGTAAGAATAAACCAATATGTTATAATGAAATAACGTGACTTTCTTATAGAAGATATCCATGTGACCAAAATCAAAACCAAATTTTACAAAGAGTACTCTATATCTGATATAACTGAATTAAAGACATTTTAAAATTTCATTAGTGACAAAAATGAAAAACCAACAAACCTGGATTCTGTTCAAAATCATCAAGGAGTTTGTCCAAGTCACTGACTGCTGCTTTAAAATAACTGTCCATCCTACTTGTAGACTTATTCAGAATTTAATTCTTGTATACCTAGAAAGTAAAAAGTATAATATTCAATAGTTCCTTTAATTCTCTAACATGTAAATATTATGCCATCTATTGTATGCCAAAAACATAGTCAGGATATAGACACAAATAAAATTTGAGAGTATTGCTTTGAGGCATCTATAATTTAGTTGGGAAATTTGCCTCTATATATACAAAAAAAAAAAAAAAAAAAAGACATGAAAACCAATTCTAACAACATAATATGCAAACATTAACTATTATAAAACTTGAAGCACTTATATAAATAACTCATGGATCAAAGAAAAATTCATAAATGAAAGTTAAAAATAGTTATAAGTACCATATATTAAATAATCCTATCTAATAAAAGAGTAATATGCAAATTGACCATCACTCAAAAACACAAAGATGGCTGCCCCCATGTGGACACAAGATGGCCACCCAAGGCGGCCTGCGGGGGAAGGCAGTTGTGGGCAGGCTGGCAGAGGAGGGCAGTTGGGGGGGACCAGGCCTGCAGGGGAGGGCAGTTGTGGGGAAGCCAGGCCTGCAGGGGAGAGCAGTTTAGGCAGACCAGGCCTGCAGGGGAGGACAGATGGGGGGGGACCAAGGCCTGCAGGGGAGGGTAGTTGGGGGGACCAGGCCTGCAGGGGAGGGTAGTTGGGGGGGACCAGGCCTGCAGGGGAGGGCAGTTGCGGGGGAGTAGGCCTGCAGGGGAGGGCAGTTAGGGTTGACCAGGCCGGTAGAAGAGGGAAGTTGGGGGAAACCAAGTCTGCAGGGGAGGGCAGTTGTGGGCAATCAGGCTAGCAAGGAGGGCAGTTAGGGGTGACCAAGTAAGCAGAGGAGGATAGTTGGGGGAGCCCAGGCCAGCAGGGGAGGGCAGTTGGGGGGGAGGGGACACTAAGCTGCAGGGGAGGGCAGTTGTGGGGGACCAGACCAGCAGGGGAGGGCAGTTGTGGGCAATCAGGCCAGCAGAGGAAGGCAGTTGGGGGAGATGAGGCCAGCAAGGGAGGGCAGTTGGTTGGTGGGGGGGGGGGGGGAACCAGGCCTATAGGGAAGGGCAGTTAGGGGTGACTGGGCCTGCAGGGGAGGGTAGTTGGGAGCAATCAGGCCTGCAGGGGAGGAAAGGGGCGACAAGACTGGCAGCTTAGGGCAGTTAGGGGTGACCAGGCCAGCAGGGGACAGCAGTTGGGTGCAATTGGGCTGGCCAGGGAGCAGTTAGGCGTTGATCAGGCTGGCAAAAGAGCGGTTAGGGGTAATCAGGCTGGCATGGTTGATCAGGCCAACACAGATGGGATCGGGCCTAAATGGGTGGTCATACATCCCTCAAGGGGTCCCAGATTGGAGAGGGTGCAGGCTGGGCTAAGGGATACCCCTCCCCCTGCACAAATTTCATGTATCAGGTCTCTTGTATAAATATACTACAACCAGAAAAAATACTGCATATAAAAACTTGTGAGACTCAGCAAAAGTAGTTCTTCAACAGATACCTAGGGCCTTAAATGCTTATACTAGAAAATAAGAAAGATTAAAAATTTATAAGCTTAGAGCAGAAATTAAAGAAATAGAAAACAAGCATTTAAGAGAGAACAAGAAAACTAAAAGTTAGTTTTATGAATAAAGATGAGCCTCTAATCTGTGTCAGGAACTACATCAAATGAGCCTGAGGCACCCTACAGAAACCTTATCAATGACTAATGTGATAATATCAAAAGGAGATGATAACAAGTTCAAGAGCTCCCACAAGCTTAAATGGGACAACTGGACATCAAATCAATGAAGACTGCAAAGGACTGAACATAAATCAAATAGATAAATAAAAAAAAAACCCAAGAGATCATAATGATGCTTAAAGCATAAACAAAACAAACCCCCAACCATTGGAAGGTTGCTAGGGTACTAAAACATTAATTCTGAAATTGATACATTAAAGGAAAAGAGCCAAGAATTTATCCTATCCTTTATTTACAAAACATGCTTAACCATAACAAAATAGTTGCTGAGGGAAAGTCTTTAAATAAGAATACTGTTACTAAATAAAGGAGGATATTAAAATCATCTCCTTAAGGACCCTAAAACCATAAATGGATTAGGCAATGGCTATCAATGGGTGAAATTCAGATGAAAGGTGGGATCAGGCCAACACATCTGAATCCATGGTCAATTTTACCATCAATAAGTACGGACAAACCAGCCTGGCTGGTGTGGCTCAGTGGTTCTGCTCCCAGTCAGGGCACATGACTGGTTGCAGGCTTGATCCCCAGTGGGGAGCATGCAGGAGAGAGCCAATCAATGATTCTCTCATCACTGATGTTTCCATCTCTCTTTCTCTCTCACTTCCTCTCTGAAATCTATAAAAATATATTTAAAAGAAAAAGTCATATCATTACAAATGAGGCAGTTTAATTTGTTCCTTTCCAAAAAGTGTACCTTTTACTTCTTTTTTTTTTTCTTACTGAATTAGAGAGGATTTCAATACATACTAATTAAGAAATGAGTAAAAGTTTTGAACAAGCACCTCACCAAAGAACAGATGGAAAATAAACATAGGAAAAAATCACTTTTCTTTTAAAAAAATATATATTTCATTGATTTTTCACAGAGAGGAAAAGAGAGGGATAGAGAGTAAGAAACATCGATGAGAGAGAAACACTGATCCGCTGTCTCGCAACTAAGGTACATGCAACCAAGGTACATGCCCTTGACTGGAATCAAACCTGGGACCTTTCAGTCTGTAGGCTGACACTCTATCCACTGAGCCAAACTGGTTTCAGCAACATCAATTTTCTTTAGGGAACTGCAGACTAAAACATTGAGATACCATTTCATATCTATTACAATGGCTAACATCCAAAAATCTGACAAAACCAAATGCTGCAGTAGGAACTCCCACTTATTGCCGGTGGGAAGGCAAAATGGTACAGCTGCTTTGGAAGACAGTTTGGCAGTCTCTTACAAAACTAAACAAATTCTTACTATATAACCCAGCAATCATACTATTTAATATTTACCCAACTGATTTAATGATTTATGTTCATACAAGAACCTGAATGTTTACAGCAGCTCTATCCATAACTGCTAAAATTTGGAAACATCAAAGATACCCGTAAGTGGAATATTATTCAATGATATAATTAAATGAGCTATGAAAGCCACAAAAAGACATACATAAAACTTAAAAGCTTATTTCTAAGTGAAAGAAGCCAGTCTAAAAAAATCTATATACTGTACAATTTTAATTATATGACATTCTAGAAAAGGTAAGACTACAGAGATAGTAATAAAAATCAGTGATTGCCAGGCAGGAGAGGGTTAAACAGGTAAAAGCACAATGGATATTTTGGGGTGATGAAGCTATTCTGTATGATACGTAATAGTGTGTACAAGACATTAAGCCTTTGTTAATACTCATAGAATTTATAACAAACAATAAACCTCAGAGCATGCTAATTTTTAAAAAATTATTAAGGTCAGGGGATCATCCAATGGAATTCAGAATGTGGCAAAACAATCTATCTAGATGTGTTACAAATGTATAAAACAAGCTCACTGGAGTGGAGAAATAAAGTGCTATCTTTGGAAATGAGTGGAGTATGTAACACTAAAGGCAAAAGGAACATGAGCATTGTACTTTAGTTGATAAAGTTGTTTCCCATGAGGGTACAGGTTAACAATTCTGAAATCACCATACATGTATACTGGAATTCAAATTAAATAATTTGATGGCTGATGGTGGGAGCCAGTTTTCTGTTTGTTAGAGGGAAAGGTTCTAAATAACCAAGGAAAGAAAGCTACAATGATCTATGTAGCAATGGATTTTTTGAGTTTGAGACATCAGTATAAACAAACTCATGTTTATCTTAATATGGCTACAAGTGATTAACATAGAAATATTTATAGATACTTGTATATAAATAGTATATACATATACATATATGCATACACACATACACATACATATACATATATACATATATATACATATATACATATACACATACATATATATATATATATATATACATACACGCATATATATATATTGCTCTGTCATTTAGGAGAACATAGAAGCAAGGCATCTCAATGGTAACAATCACAGTGGGTGCCCAGATCTTGGTTTCTCCAATAAAAGGAACCAAGATTCCTCGGAGAAATGGCTTATTCTAAGACTGGGGCAGGAAATATACAAGATGAGCGAGGAGCATCTTGTAATGCCAAGAAGTAAGAAAGTACACGCACATGCATGAGCAGAAGTGCACACATGTACACATGTGCACACACACACACACACACACACACAAAATGTGGGGATTATGTCAAAGGGATAGAGGAGTCAACTGAAAGAGCTCCCAAAACCAAAGCTGGAATAGTTTGAATAGTAAAATAAAGTAGTACTGGATTATAACCCAAAACTTAAAAAAATATATATATGAGATAAATAAATGATTAAATATGTAAATTGGGGGAACAAGACAAATTTCCCACGCAGAAAGATTTCAAATAATGCATATAGATACTTTGTTCTTAAGGAAGTGGAACATAACTTGCTATGCAGGTGTGTGCTGCACACAGTGACTTTCTAAAGTGTACAGTATGAAATATAACTGCACAGTGGAGAAACCTGACAAACACTACCTCAAGCCAGAGAACCAAGGTTAAGATCAACAGTAACAATTAATAATGACAGTCTGTACCCTCGGCATGATGTAATGAGAATGGCACTTTATCTCTGTTGTCTTCCTCCCAAAACATATTACCACAATCCAGTCACGAGAAAAAATCAGACAAATCCCAATTGACATTCTACAAAATAACCGACTAGTAATCCTCAAAACTCAAGAGGATCAAAATCAAATTATGTCTGAGAAACTGTTACAACCATGAGGAGCCCAAGGAGATGAAACTACGCAGTGTAATGTGGTATCCGAGAACAGAAAAAGTCTATCAGGAAAAACTGAGGTAATGTGAATAATGTGTGGGCTTCAGTGGTTCCTTAATCATGACAAATGTACTATATTAATGTAAGCTATAATAACAGAGAAACTGGGTATGGGGTATATGGGAATTCTGTACTCTTTGTGCAATTAACCCTTTAAGTCTAAAATGCTTCGAAAGTTAAAAAAAAATGAAACTAAAGCATTGGAAAATAAAGTTGAGAATTTTTTAAAAATTATGCAATTCAATAAATACTATTCACAAAGTATCTCCATCTATATAGCAATGTACTAAGCATTGTATTATTTGATGCAAGTTGTTTTTGAGTTTGACACTCATCTTCATCCAATAATGCTTATAACTGTTGATCTTCAAACTTTTTCAGTTGACCTGGACATTCTTTGTCTTTCACTCTTTTAAAGTGTTTAAACCAGCATTCACAAGTATCTTGAGATAGTGCATGTTTACTATAAGCCTCCCAAAGTATTCAGCAGCACTTTTCTTCAAAATAATGAATTAAAACTTCCCACAATGCTCTATTTTTCCACAATGCTCTATTTTTCCACAATGCTCTATTTTTGGCACAAAATTCGAAATTTTTAAGTGTAAAATGATCTATGATGTTAACACCTTCAGAAAATTTGACATAGGAAGTTTTAAGGCTTGTTGTCAATACAACAAAACAGCATTCATACCAAATCACATATATATCAACATATGTGTAACTCCATCTATTGAAAAAAATCTGCATTATTAACTGGTACACCTAGTACAAGAAGCAAGCAATGAATGAATAAATAAATGGGACAACAAATCAATGTTTTTCTCTCTCATTCTAAAATCAATAAAAATAAGTAAACAAAATAAAAAGAGCATCTCAGACACACTAATAGAGGTAAACTGGCACACTCTTTCAGGTAAACAATGTGATGATATTTATCAATATTCTCAAAAAGATTCCTAAAATTTTATCTAAATTCTTTTTAGAAATTTAAGAAAATAATCCTAAACAACCAAAAATATGCAAAGATATTTCATCAAATAATTAATTGAAACAATCTAAATAACAATGTTAGGACATAGCATAAAATGCATCAAAAGTAATGTTCATGTCTATCAAAACTTTTTTTAAAGCACATACTCTATAACTATCAATTATACTCCTATAGAAACACTAGCACTGTGCAAAGAACACCTCACAAAGAACTTTCATTGCTGCAATATTTGTAATAGTATAAAATTGCAAAGAATGTAAAAGCTCCTCAGTACAAGAATGATTAAATCAACTTTCTCAGACTGGGGGTCCAAGAATCCCTGAAAATCCCCTAGAACTTTTTAGGGGTTCTGCGAAGTCTTCCTTTTCCAAATATCTGTGTAAAGCTAATTTTTAAAAAAATATTTCTTATTGATTTTTTACAGAGAGGAAAAGAGAGAGAGAGAGTTAGAAACATCGATGAGAGAGAAACATCGATCAACTGCCTCTTGTACACCCCCCACTGGGGATATGCCCGCAACCAAGATACATGCCCTTGACAGGAATCGAACCTGGGACCCTTCAGTCCTCAGGCCTATGCTCTAGCCAAACCGGTTTTGGTTAGTTGATTTTTTTAAAGATTCTTCAGCCTAAACAAGAGAGCACACCAGACTAACCAGAGAAGCAAATATTAGAACGCAACTGTCTTCTATTAAGCCAGACATTCAAGTTATTTGCAAAAATAAAACAATGCCACCTTTCTCAGTAAATTTTTAAAAGGAAATAGTTATATTTAATATATAATGGATTTGTTATTGTCATTTTTAATGAGCAAGTAATTTTTTAATGTTTTGAATTTTCATTTCTAAAATGGTAAACACACTGCACTGGAAAATAAAACTCTTTTAGTCTTCAATAATTGAAAAAAAATTTAATTTATTTTAAAAGAGGAAAGGGAGAGAGAGAAACATTGATGTGAGAGCAAAACATTGATAGCCTCCTGCAGGCCCCCTACCAGGGATCTGAGATGGAGCCTGAAACAGGGGACATTTGCCCTGACAGGAATCCAAAGAGCTGCCTGTCAGGACATCACCCAATCAACAGCCACACTAGCCAGGGCTTCAATAATTTTTATGATGAGAATTAAATGGGAATTTATCTTTATTTATAATGTACCTGTTTCAAAAGATATTCTGTTCACATATTATTTGTGAAATCAAAAAAATCAGAACGTTATGTCTATAAAGTTTTAACACATGGGAAAATTCTTAAAATATAATTTTAAGCAAGAAAAACAGGCAAACCAACTGTATACACAAATTTTATCTTAATTAAGAAAATAGCCGAAACCGGTTTGGCTCAGTGGTAGAGCATCGGTCTGCGGACTGAAAGGTCCCAGGCTTGATTCCGGTCAGGGGCATGTACGTTGGTTGCGGGCACATCCCCGGTAGGGGGTGTGCAGGAGGCAGCTGGTCGATGTTTCTCTCTCATCGACATTTCTAGCTTTCTCTCTCTCTCTCCCTTCCTCTCTGTAAAAAATCAATAAAAATATTTAAATATATATATATATATATATATATATATATATATATATATATATATATATATATATATATATATATATATATATACCGAGACCGGTTTGGTTCAGTTGAGCGGATAGATCGTCAGCCTGCGGACTGAACGGTCCCAGGTTCGATTCCGGTCAAGAGCATGTACCTTGGTTGCGGGCACATCCCCAGTAGGAGGTGTACAAGAGGCAGCTGATTGAAGGGTCCTGGTTTCAATTCTGACCAAGGGCATATGCCAGCGTTGCTGGGCTGGATCCCCAGTAGGGGGCGTGCAGGATGCAGCCGATCAATGATTCTCATCATTGGTGTTTCTATATCTCCCTCACCCGTCCTCTCTGAAATCAATAAAAATACATTTATTTAAAAAGCTCGAAGATGAAGTCAAAACATTAACTGTAATTACCTTTAAATAATGGGGATATCATTGATTCTTTTTTCCTTATTCGTTATTATACTTAAAATTTTTTGACATTTAGCATATAGTTTGACACTGGGGGGAGGAAATAAAGGAAGGAATTGGGTGAAAAAATTATATAATACTTCTAGATCAAACCATTAAACTTCTGCCAATTCAAAAAAAAAAAAGGGGGGGGGACGAGTTGAAAATAATAAATGAAGGAACCTAATTCGTCCAAACAAGTTGCCTTGTTTTGTTAAGTAAAAACATTAACATCAAACTTATGGGCTGGTTTCCTTAAAAGAGTCTAACAAGAACATTCTTAATTTGGAATGTTAATTATGGAACAATGATTTGCAATCACGGAAAATACAAATAAGTCACTAGTTTAAAAGTTAGGTGCTCCTTCAGCACGTTTCAAAGGTACCAAAGGTGGTGGAGCAGGAACCCTGCCGCATCCTTCCGGTCTGAAAGGATGAGAGCCTGGACCGGGGCGGGACGCACCGGGGCGAAGACAAGAGTCAGAGGCGGGGGGTCGAGTCCCTTCGGAGCAAAGGCTCCCCCTTGGCGGGGACAACCAGCGTCCCCGCAGCCGGCCAGCCCCTCCCCCGGAGCGGCCGGCGGCCCGGGGCTCCCCCGGCAGGGACCAGCGCTCCAGGCGACCCGAGTGGGCAGCGCCGGCCAACAGCCGCCGAGATTGCCCCCGGGCCTCTCCGGCCTCCCGGGCTTTACCGAGGGGACGCGAGGCCGGAGGGCCGTGCCGCCCCGGCGCGCTCAGGGGGGGATCGGAAGAGGAACCGGCCCGGGCCCAGGCTCGGTCCCCGGAGGAGGAGGAGGAGGGCCGGACCCAGACCCTGCGGGCAGCGCGCCGGGCGGCACCCCGCCCCCTCCGGGAGGGCAGCGGGGCTGGGGGGACGCCGAGATGCAGGCCCCCGGGGCCTCTTACCTCCCCGCGCCCCGGCGATGCTCCCCGGGCACTCGATGCGACGCCGCCCTGGAGCGAGGAGCCGCCGGGCCGGAGTCCCGGGAGGGTGCGACGTCGGCTCCAGGTTACTTTCCCCGACCCGGGAGGGAGCGCCCGGCGCAGGCGCGGAGGCGGCTCTCCGCGGCGCGCACGCCCCGCCCCCCGGCCGCGGCCGCGGCCGCCGCAGTCCCCAGGCGCCTGCGCGCCGCGCGGCCCGGCCAGAGCCCGAGGCCCCGGGAGGCCCGAGGCCACTCACCGGAAGTGGCTGCGGAGGACGGGGTCCCCGGGACGATCGGCCTTAAATCTGGACTCAGTTTCCCACTCTAGGTGCTTTCAAACCGGGATCGGGCAGCGACCCGCGTCCGTGTCCGGCTTTCTCTGCCCTTGGCCGACCTCGTCGCAGCGTCCTCCGCCCCCGGCGCCGGAGTCCTGGGAGCCACCCCGGCGCTCCGGCCTGCACCGGGCACAGCCGCCTGCCTGACGGCAAATCCGGCTTCCACCCGCGCTGCTGTCCTCGAAAACATACTAGATTTTTTTTTTTTTTTTTTTAACATTAGATTCGTTTGCAAACTCCCCCTCCCCCCCCCGCGCTTCCCCGGCCGCAATGAAAAATGCCCTAACCCACCCCGTGCTTCAGGCCCTCTCGCTGACAGGCCATTTCCTTTTCAGCTCGGTCCTTCCCTCTCTTTGCCTTAGTTCTGCTTTCCTAACACCGGCCACCGAACAGCTGCCTCCCCTTTTGAAACCAAAAGCTAGAGGGAAGGTAGGGGAGGGAGGGGGTAAAGGAGAGAGATCAACCAAAGGACTTGTGTGCATGCACATAAGCCTAACCAGTGGCCATGGACAACAAGGGGGTGGGGGCATCCGTGGGGAGGGGTTTGGGATGGGAATGGGGGGATGAGGACAATTATGTGATACCATAATCAATCAATCAATAAAACAAAAGCTAGCTAATCTGATGGAGCGGAAAACAAAACCTTCATGCATGTGATGCATACGTGTGCTTGTTGAGCTTTACTGTTTGTACCACACGTTTCCTATAAATTTACATGAGGGAAGAAGAAACATCTCTATGGAATCAAGGTATTACAAGCTGGAGGGGAAAGAACCCAACAATGGCCAAAAGATTTCTCTAGGCTCAGTTTTCATACTGGTCCTTCAAAAACTCCACTAGTTACAATATCTTAGAGAAGTATTTCAGTCAGACGTGATTGATTATGAGGAGAGATTTGAGAACTGGTGTTCATATCCTACATCTGCAATTTGCAACTATAAGTTTATCTTTCAAAGATAGTTAATGTTGATTTTCTTTCTCTAATCTTGATTTTCCTAAACTCTAAAATGCAAGCGTGTGGTTTTAGTTCAACAGTGAAACTTACTAGGTGCTCAAAATAATTTATTGAACATTTATGTGATGGGCCTTGTACTTGATGCTTTGCTTATTATCACATTTAATCCTACAAAGGAAATCACAGAAAATTCTATTACAATTAAGAATAAGTTTGCAAAGCACAGGCTGTATTTTCTCTTCTTTGTGTTAGGTGTTGTTCACAGATTAATAAAATGAGGTCACTGTGTTTATGGAACCACAGTCTAATAGCAGAGGCATACATATACGTGTGTGTATGTGCATATTTGGGATAAAAGTATATTATACCGTAGGAGGATAAATAATAGAAATAAAGCACACTAAGACCTTAAATAGGTAAATGAGAAATTTATATTCATGAATTCAATTCACAAAATAGGAAATTTAAGTGCCTACTACATATTTTACTAACGTTCACCTTAATAATGAAGAACAAAGAGATATTTTCCATGGATCTCATTAGTTTGTTTAAAATATGAATAAACTCCATTGGTGAGGTTAGAGTGAAATATGCACTTATACCCTGTTGGAGATCTAAATTAGGACAAAGATTTTGGAAACTTATCTGTCAAATTATATTAAGAAATGACCTAATTTAGCTGAGACCGGTTTGGCTCAGTGGATAGAGCGTCGGCCTGCGGACTGAAAGGTCCCAGGTTCGATTCCGGGCAAGGGCATGTACCTTGGTTGCGGGCACATCCCCAGTAGGGGGTGTGCAAGAGGCAGCTGATCGATGATTCTCTGTCATCGATGTTTCTAACTCTCTATCCCTCTCTCTTCCTCTCTGAGAAAAATCAATAAAATATATTTAAAAAAAAAAAAAAGAAATGACCTAATTTAGTAATTTTCCTTCTGGAAGTTATAAGGAGATATTCCTGAAAACAAATGCTTATATTGAATAACAATAAGGAACATAAACAAGGTATCCAAACAAATGCCTTTTATATACAAATGAAATTGTACTTTCTATTACATTTATTTGTTAATGGATGTTTTCCTCTGTGCAGTGCATTTCTAAGAGTTATAAAGATTATAAAAATGGATAAATCATGATTTTTGCCTTGAAGTTCACAATCTGCTATTATTCTTTTATTTAGTAGTATAAATGGTTGAGAGATTGCTGTAATATAAGATTGTGAGATTTTGTATAGATTCTGGGCCAGCTAAATTTTCTGTGATTTTCTTTGTCGAGTGGAATAGAGAAGAAATCTACATGTCAAATGCAGTGTCAAAAAGAGTCCTCAGAAAAGTTTGAGTAATTTCTGAAAAATCCTCTGTACCATCTTTAACCTTTAAAGATCCAATTTATAACCAAATTGTTTCTGGACTTGAAGAGATCATCCCAATTGGTAACATATTTGGCCAATTTATTTCTTACACTAGTCCTTGCTTGAATCAGCATTTTATTATTTTGAAAGGTAACCAGAATCTTGGTGATTTTAAGAAGCTTAAATTCCACAGTAATATGAACTTCCAAAGCTGTTCCCTTTTCATAAGTAATCTGGGTGGAGAAAATACCAGAAACAAATGAAAATAACTATTACAATTATTCGTTTGTTCCATGGCTGATCTAATACTAACAAGCGATTTCAGAAGTAGGGATTCATTGTTATAAAACTACAGAATGTAGCCCTACCCGGTTTGGCTCAGTGGATAGAGCTTCAGCTTGGGAACTGAAGGGTCCTGGGTTCAATTACTGCTAAGAGCACATGACCGGATTGCATGTTCAATCTCCAGTAGCAGGTGTGCAGGAGGAAGCCAATCAATGATTCTCATCACTGATATTTCTATTTCTCTCTTCCTCTCCTTTCCTCTCTGAAATCAATAAAAATACATTAAAAAAATAACTCAGAGAATGTAACCTGGAACTGTTAATTAAACATTACTATTTAAGTGCTACATAACTATGTGTATTATTCATGTATTGAGAAAAAGGGCTAAAACATCTTTTTAAAAATCTGTTGTTTCAGGACCAATCAAATCAGGTATTCAGAGCAATGACACTAATAAATAGTTATAGTTTTCCTGACCATGAGAGCTATTTTTTTTTTAAATAACAGAAAACTTTTGAAGAAATAACTAAAATATTAACTGGATTATATTTTGAAGATGATATTATGGGTGATTTCTCCCCTTTTTAGTTGTCCATATTTTCCAAATTTTTTTACAATAACATTACTTAATAATCTAAGAGGGAAAAATGAAACAATTCCTTCTAAAAAAAAGTGTTGCTGAGTGCATAGTTGAATCAACCACTTATCTTGCATTTCTTTTGCAATTTCTGCATACAATATATTCATGACTGTGAGTCATAGGAGAGAAGTAACCAAAAAGCATAGATTAGCACATATATCTGGATACTGTGTTAGAGGTGGCAACAAGGTACAATCATTACCAGGACTAACGTATGATGCAGCTCCAACATCATGACACAGGTTCTCTTAACAAGAAAGTCAATAGAATTCTTTGCCAAATATGTCCAGTTCTTTCTCTTCCCTCTGAGCATGTGATGCCAGTGTACTTCCTGGTCCCCTTGTGGTTGAATAGGGTCATGTGATTGACTCAAGCATATAAATGGTGAGAAGTGCCATGTCATTTCTAGAGTGGGTCCTTTACTCACCAACGTGAGATACCCCAGAGCCTGCTTTCCTCTGGCACAGCAATAGTCAGGACTCGATATTGTGGCTGCACTATCAGTTTGAGTCCTTAAGGGATTCCAATTTTCAGAATACTTCTGGAACAAAAAATAAAAAACAACAACACTTGGTTATGATTTTTACTGCAGCCTAACTTACTACCCTGTTTCCCCGAAAATAACACAATGTCTTATATTAATTTTTTCTCCCAAAGTTGCGCTAGGTCTTATTTTCAGGGGATGTCTTATCTTTCCATGCGCTAGGTCTTATTTTGTACCCCTGAGACTGGTGGGTGGCCATTCTGCATTCGCACTGAGACAAAGGAGGCGTTCTGCAGCAGCATTGTTTCCTAATGTTTTCCTAGGACCTAGGTGATTTGCTCTATACTCATAATTATTATAATTTGCCAGGTAAATAAATACATTTTGTTGCAAGAGTAATAGTGACTTTTTTTGTGCTGCAAAACCCTTTATTATTTCCATTTGGTCCAATGCTTGGGAGGGGGCTCCAGGGTGACTAAAAGAATGCCTAGTTTCAGGGAGAGGCTCAGGCAAAAGCCAGACACCCAGGGAATACAGAGGGGCCCCTCAAAGACCTCTGGGCTCCGATGGCTCTTAGTTGTGCTTGAGGGTGAGCCTTTCAAAAAGATAGTTGCCCCCGACCCTCCCAGAAAAGAAAAGATATTCACCCAGCTCAGCCTGAGGGCAGGCCAACCTTCAGAGGCTAGTCAGGTGTCACCCATCTTCTTGATGAGTTTCACTCCCCACTCAGGAAGTAGTTATCCAGAGACTATGGTCTGCACAGGCAGAACCTAGGGCCCAGTTCAGGTTCCTCTCCAAGGCCATGGAAGCTTCCGTGGCATCCTGAGTTTTGCCCCACTCATCTTGGAAGGCTTCAGCACATCATGGAAGAGAATGTGGCCACTGTGCTGCTTTTGCTTCTTTATAGAAGTCCAGCTCCCTCACGTCTCTCCACCCCTGCACCCTCCAGAGCCACATTCTTGTGGTTGAAATAGAAACCCAGAGAAAGGTAGGTGCTGGAGGCCTGCAGATGCAGGTTGGCCAGGCAGTTGATGGCAACCTCCAGCTCCGTGGAATAATCGTGATGAATTT